CATTTCAGTTCAGACGGAATCACAGGACAATTATTTACTCCAATTTCCACAATAGTGCTTTTCCATTTATATTTTTGTTACATTTTATCGCAGAAACAAATTATTTTCAATGCTACAAGAATTTTTGCAATGCAACAAGAATTGCATTGAATTTGTACCATTTTTCGTCATGACGGACGAGTTTCATTGATAACCAACAATCAAGTCTGTACAAATCATAGACAAGGGCTAATTTGCATATTTTTGTTCAAATAATTTCGCACTAGTGTTTTATAACAACCCCAACACTGATCGTATTCATAGGAAATATTTTAATTTTTATATCGAAGGATATTATTTTACTTACTGCGTCCGACTCTGATGATCCACGACCTTTAAGAACCGGCTATCTCTGAAAGTTCACGATCTGTGCTAATTAAACATAATAAAGAATACCCTATCTTAGAGAATCCGCTATAATTCAAATTCATTTTGAATTACAATGATTGTTTTCATTCTTTCAAGATTTTCGAACTGACGATGGAGCTAGACTCCGCAACGTTTTCAATATAGATATGATCAATTTTCTTCACGCCTCCTAGCTTTTAAATTCCTTGCAAAATGAACGACGCCATCCCAACATTTTATGGCCGATGGAACATGTATTGTTCAGTACGCCACGTTCAAGTAAAGCCATCGTCTTTCGAGTTCCAGGCTAAGATCAACAACAGCAGCAAAATACAGCAGTGCGTGCAGCCTCGTCCACTCGTTACGTTACTTGACATCACAGCAGAGTTTAATTATCAATTTGCAAGCTAAACTCATCCTGGGACGCTTTCAAGCGGTTGCGCTGGAGAGATCATGTGGAAAATGACGAATGCCGTAAAATTTCAAGACGCAATATGCCTGCCTTGATGGCTCTCGACGGTGGATGAAATCGTGTCGTATCGTGGCAACGCGTAGGGTTTTTTTTTGTGACAGGATGACTTGTTGACGAGAGTAAAACTGTCTTTAACTTGTTGAGGGATGTAAAGCTACTCGTTATACAAGGAGATTATGTAAAATGAAAGCAAGATTTTCTTAAGGGTATATTGTTGGTATCTATTCAAATTGCGGATAGAAATATGAAATTATTTGAAGTATTTTATTCGCAACTGCAGAATTAAGAACGCTGTAAAATGATCATAAAAAAAATAAACGGAACAAACTACGGAGCTTAGCAAATAATAGTTCACTCACACTGAATAATTAAAGTGAAGTTTTGTTATAATACTAATACCATTGCACCGTCTAGCCAAACTTTTTGGTACTAATCTTACTCACATTAAAAAATATGATGAAAAAAGGCCCAAAATATAATTTCCATAATATATAAAGTCCTTACTTATCAGTAATTTAGGGCCACGCACTGCAAGCTTTATTTCAAATACTATATTGAATTACTAAAATCCTTCTCTGTTACCTACGTTGGTCTGAAGAATCCGGTACAAATAGTACATTTAAATAATAAATATGGACGATCATAAATACGAGTATAAATCGGCATCACCAATAAAAGCAAGGGAAACAGCACTCCTGTGTACTTATGGGTTATATTTCAACATCATCCCTTCATCATCCCGTAAAAACGGAATTCATTTTGAGCGAGCAGAGATAATGCATGCAATCATTGATCAATGAATTAATGAATGAATTTACGAATTTCAGTATTAAAAAAATGCGCTTGCTATTTCGCAGCAGATCTTGTGGGAGGCTGATCCTGCAGCAGCTCTTGAGATGCTAGTCGGGGGTTCGAGCCTCGGAAAGCTCTGTTTATTTCTCGACGTCGTTGCATGTGGACTGTGATTGGTTGCCGCCAAAAAGGTGGTGCTTACAGCATGACCTTGGACGTGTGTCCCTAAACGAACTCTGAGGACGTGTTACCTGCGGGATCTTATGGTCTTAATTAAGCATTTTTATCTCATGTAATAAGATATTTCTAAACAGAGATAACTCACTATGAAGGTCAACCCCTGAAATAAAGATGGAAGAGAAGACCTTGCAGAGCATAAATATTTATTTATATCATAGCCTTATTGAACGCAATTAATCTTAGCTTATGCTGATTTAGCCCGCGGCTTGTGGTGACCCACTAACACTGATGCATGTTGGTGACTATTTTCATCGCTGTGATAATGACAAATAAGTGTCACAAATATGAACAAAGAGAGGCTCATAGCGCTACAAATAAATGAGCTGTGATTTCATAGAAAAACTGAGATGAATGTGCCGGATTTTCTAATAATACAGTTTTAGATCAAATGAATGTCTATATTAAATAAATAATTCGTTTTGGTTTTACGTAGAATTTGTATAAATAATTAGTTTAGAGTTGGAAGTAAATTCAATATAATTTACTATCTTGTATCTCTTTATAGTTGAGTCGTAAAATTCAACTGAAAATCATAATGATCTGAAAAACTCTCAATTGGGAAACAAAAACCCTAGGGAAAATATCAGGAGAATCTGAAGTAAGATCAAAAATATATTTAAACAAGTAAAATAATAGGCCACCAATATGGCAAAAAATAAGGTCACATAAGATCGTCTATCAACTGCACGTTGCCTTATCATATGCAAAAAAATACACGGCAAAAATGGACCGAGGCTTTGAATGAAAGATGAAGCTGCTATAGATCACGTCATTATACTTCACTGCCTGCACTTACTGAATAAAAACATGTTTAATATTCTTAACGCTCGCTTCGTTTCATCAGTTAGAATTAGTTGATGATAAACTGTTTAACTAATAAACTATCAAGTAAGGGCATTAATATCATTGTTTAAGTTTTTCTCTTACTTTGTTGTTATAATATTGAGCAGTTATAAATAAGAACAATTGAGTGTTCCTCAATACCATGACAAAAACCGGCTATTTAACGGGGCATTATTTCACTCTATAAATGATGAGTGATTAGTTAAATAAAAGTCAACGTATAAAATTTGTAGAATTAAAACATCAAATCAGCTTTATTCTTACATTTAAACAGAATCCATCGATACATGAAATTGGAAATCCCTCATGCATGAATTCAAAGGCAAATAATTGGGCCACGGATATAAAGGTTAAACATTGTGATGAGGTAAAATGGCGCCGAAACGCCAGTAAAATATTGCCAGATATTTCATTTAGTACACAGACTAAGGTAAATATACATTTTAGTTGAGTATGCTAAGTAAATTTGAGATTTAATAAAATATTAAAACTTCGTCTTTAATGGCGTTTCCGTATTAAAAGTTTAAGGATGTCTATTTCAGTAAAATAATCAGGATATTTTCTTTTGTTCCAGGGAAGATTAGACTCCTGAAGATCCACCTTCGGCTGAAATATAGTGAAAATATGAAATATGTGTGTGAACTGAAACAAAATTTGAAATATATGTGAATAAAACTTGAATTAACCATGAATTATATTTGAACTGAACGTGAACAAAATTTGGTGAAACGTAAACAAGATTTGAAGCGGATGCACAATTTGAAGTAAACTTTAAATGAGAATTGATCTGAATGTGAACAAAATTTGAAGAGAACTTGAAAAAAACTCAGTGAATGTAAATAATATTCTCATTGAACGTGATTCACATTCGTGCTTAACGTGAAGAAAATAAGAGGTCAACGTAAACGAGATTTGAAATGAATTACATTTAAACAGAATCCATCGATACATGAAATTGGAAATCCCTCATGCATGAATTCAAAGGCAAATAATTGGGCCACGGATATAAAGGTTAAACATTGTGATGAGGTAAAATGGCGCCGAAACGCCAGTAAAATATTGCCAGATATTTCATTTAGTACACAGACTAAGGTAAATATACATTTTAGTTGAGTATGCTAAGTAAATTTGAGATTTAATAAAATATTAAAACTTCGTCTTTAATGGCGTTTCCGTATTAAAAGTTTAAGGATGTCTATTTCAGTAGAATAATCAGGATATTTTTCTTTGTTCCAGGGAAGATTCCACTCCTGAAGATCCACCTCTGGCTGAACGGAATTGTGAATATGGAGCAATATGAAGTAAATGTGAATAATACTTTAATTAAACGTGAATTATATTTGAACTGAACGTGAACAAAATTTGGTGAAACGTAAACAAGATTTGAAGCGGATGCACAATTTGAAGTAAACTTTAAATGAGAATTGATCTGAATGTGAACAAAATTTGAAGAGAACTTGAAAAAAACTCAGTGAATGTAAATAATATTCTCATTGAACGTGATTCACATTCGTGCTTAACGTGAAGAAAATAAGAGGTCAACGTAAACGAGATTTGAAATGAAAGAGAAGATTTTTTAAATTAAACACAATCAAGTTTTGCGGTCTTATTCTTGTATCTCTGTATGAGTTTTCATTTGTGTTCATTAATTATTAGAACGGAAACACGTCATGGTCAGAAAAATGTTAGCGTTGCTTGACCGAGAGATAGATGGTGAACTTAAACAGAGAAATTTTGAAAGATTAAATCGGAATGGACGTTTAGTACAAAGTAAGAGAAAGTAAGCAATAAAAGTGATCAATGTCAATAGTAGCAATATTATTGCTATCGTTACCATTTTCGAAGCAATAAATTAAATTATTATATAGAACCATTTCAACTGTCACATAAATAAGTTACCTCTTTTTCATAAATGAAATAAAAAAGAACTAGAAAAGCACGGATCGATTTAAAACAAACAACGATTAAAAAAAGTCGTGCAATGCGGCAATTTATGTCAAGATATCATCAATATTCATCTACTAAATAGGTAATTTATTTACATAAGATGCTTGTTATTCCTTCGATTCTTTCTAACACTAAGGGTTCTACTATGACTTAGAAGGAAATAAACTAGCGATAAATCATTACAATGACATATGCTCTGATCTTAAAGCAAGAATTACAAAGAAAACTTTGAGGCACTAACGAGAGTAGTGCATCATTTAGCTGAAAAATAAATGTGAGCACTCTTAATGACTTGAAATAAACAAGAGCATGACAGAAAATGGAGTGCAATTCTAATGAGAAGCCCCTGCATCGAAATCAAAACCAAACCTCTTCCAATTATAATCTAATCAACAATAACAGTAGTTTCGAGAAAGGTGATAAACTAAGACGAAATAAAGATACAAGCCTGATAAAAAATAACAATAACACTCAGAAACCTAAGGAAACTTTGATGCCTTTCCAAAAAGGAAACATCTTCAAGAAAATTTTGGGGGCCGTTGAGAGCAACGAAGAAACGACGCACAAGAATAAATCTTCCAGAAATGCTTATGACCGACCGAACAAAAACGAAGGATCCAGAACAGACTCCAGTATCTCGGTCTCTGGCAATACGTCGCAGTGCAGCTCAAATGAAAATGTTATTCCTGTGGCTTGCCGTCTTGGCAAAACCAAAGCAAAAAGTGAAACGACAACCTCAAATTTTGAGAACAATCAATGTTGCAAAGATGCGAGTAACGAACGCAGCATGAATACATGTGATGAAATGGGAGATGAAAAGGAGGGATCCCGCAGTATTTCAATTGTGAAACATAGAGACGAGCTTAAAAGCTATGAAGAGAAGGGGAAAAGCAGCGAACCAACAAGTCAGGATGCGCAGAAATTTGACGGAAAGAAGAAAATGCACAACGTAGGGAACACTGAACAACATCGAGCCATGAACGCAGGAACAGACGTTGAGAAAACAAGTTCTTGTAATCAAAAAACCTGCAAGTCAGAAATGAACAATTACTATGCTGATAAAAGCTTGGAAGGAAATAAGGACCAGAAGGTAATTATTGACGTTGAAAGAGAAAAATCGACAAGAAATGAAACGAAAAACTTGGATGCAGGCAATACCTTGAATGCGGACGTCTCAGACACTCGAGATTTGCTGAGTATTTCTTTATGTGGATCTAACCTGATAAAGAGCGACGAGTTACAGAACAATTACTTGACAAGTTACATTGGTTTTCCTCCTCTGGATTACCCGACCGCCCTGCTTCCCACCTCTGGGAAGTTATTCGATGATTACTTCGGGCTGTCTTCGGATAGTTCGCTGTCAAGTAAATCAGATACCACGAAGAATATTTACGACTCTGGCATCACAAGGCGGGAATCTCATGCCAAAAATCCAGAACCAAAGTCTTTTTCATACTCGTCGATGAAAAATGAGCCATTTACCAAAGTGCTTTCTAAAAATAAACGTTCTAACGAGAAATTACATAAGAAACAGCAAACACCTTCGTTAAACACTGCATTACAAACAACTGGATTTTCATCACAGAATTTCCAGCAACAATTTAATTACAACAATCTTTACGCCACACCGTCAATTCCGATTCCCCCTCATAAGACTTTGTCAGCGCCAGAGGCTACTAACAAACCGAAAGACTCGGGCATATCACCGATGTCTTTACACAAGAACTACCAGGAGTCGCTTTTTGCTGCATGTAATTGCAGCCATCCCAGTCCCTCACACGCATGTGCAGCAAGGCATGAAGTGTACGGAGTGTTAAACCCACTTTTTGATGACCGGCTCTGGCCCCCAAAAGGCAATCCACCACAAAACTTTGAACCGAATAGATCGACAAGGATCACAGCACCAGAGTCTTCGGAAATGGATGGTATTTGTAGAAATACTCTCCCTTCATATTTGCTTTCTGGAAACACTGACCTCAGTGCGTCTTCTGAAATTGAAGGAAACCGCTTTGCCATGCTCCCACAGTGTACTGAAGATGAACTTATGATTCCGTCATTAGGGAATATTTATACATGCAATCTGTATTCTGGGGCTGCTTTCAGTGACAGCGAAGTAAAAGTTGTCGGTTACCCAAGTTGTTACGAGTTTGGCCCCAAGGCAAATCCGGTGAACACTGACATTACAAAATATAAGAACTTTCTGAGCATGAGTCCTAACCCATCCTGTGCTATCGGAGGCATGACAACACGAAACATGGGAATGAATCTGGGGAGAAATAGCGTTTCCATACCTGAAAATATATCAGGTCAGAAAATTAATCAATTTGTGTCACATCTTGCACCTTCGAGCAACTTTCAAACGGAATTTAGCGAAGGAATGAATGAGGGAAAACGTTCCCATGTTGATTCCAAGACCATCTCTAAGCAATCTTTAACCGTAACGCAAACTATGCAAAATAAATCCGTGGCCAACGACACACAATTAGATCACAATCGTACCGAAAAAATTATGGATGACAATATTCCAGTACCATTCTCGATTAGCGCAAACACACGAGAAAATGAAACTATAAACAATAAAATTACTAACAACAGTAAGAAAATTGTTAGCGTTGAGTCTTTGAATCATACGACCGTGAAAATTTTATTTGATCCCAGTACTCTCATGCGAGACCCCGGTTCAAATTTCATCTCCCCAGGAAGCGGTGAAATAATCATGCCATTCACCCCCCAAAATTTGGAGGAAGAGCTCATGTACCCTGACACATACACTCAAGGGTCAAAAATAATCCAGAACTGGAACGCTCGCGAACAAGATTTCTTCCTGGGCGCACCCAACCGGAAACCCAAATCTAATCAGCGTCCGTTGTCTGCGGAAGGTAACGAGCTGACAAGAAATGATCGTCGGCCATGCGGTGAGGGAAATCAGAGCGAGATATGGACGGCAACTGCTCCTCAATTCCACAGTTATAATAGAAATGATGATATTGACGAAAATATCTCTGGGAACAAACTAAACGGAGATGTTTGTCGTATTTCTACGAATAAAACTGATGCAGTTCTCGCAAAACCCTCTTCAAGAGATTTAAAACATCTCCGTTCGATGCCCGTTAACTATACGGAGAAGAGATACAGCTTGCCTTCCTTGACTGAGTTCGATAATTTTGACCGTGACGAATACGTAACATTCAAGCAGCGTCTAATGGGAGCTAAGCAAGAAATTCCTCGGTGCCTGCGACTCAATCCATTCGAACCTTGGGATGAGAGCCTATTTGACTCACAGCCGCCGGTATTCAACGAGAAGTTAGATGCTAACCGAGGTTTGACAAGCTCCAATGAGCGTGATTTTGAAGATAACGTTTTGCGCTCTTCAACTCAAAAACAAGCCCATGATTCTCAAGGAACTAATTCCGACAAATTATCAGACATCGAGACAAAGTTTACCTCATCAAAGAAGACACAGAAAAAGAAAAAAGTGATTACAAAACAGAGATCAATTTTATACGAGGGCGATGAGGCAGAGGAGATAATAGAAAATCCTGAGATTGTGTCAAATATGCAGGGAGCGAAACAATGCAATCGTGAGGAATTCGAAGTGTCGGAAGAGCGAGAGCGATCGGAATATGAAACGGGAGATTCAATTACTGACGCAAAGACTTGTTCTGAAGTTTCAGCGATTGATGAAAATTTGGGAAAATCTACCGATAGTGAAAATGCGAATTGCTCTTCAATTCAAAAAGATATTTTAGATCATACAAAACAAAATTGTACTACACTAGGTGCATCAAATTTGATGCCGACAAATAAGGTAGAGACAATAATTGAGGATAAGATTTCGAGTGGTGGGATACTTCATAAAATTAGCATTACAACAACTAATGGAACCGAAGAAGATGTAACGTCATCATTGACCGCTATCACAAATACAAATGTGAAAAATGAAATTGAAAAAATACAGGAAAAAGAAAATGAAATTGGAAAACCAAGCGCCGAATCGGAAACTATCGAAGGAAACTCGTCATTTAATAACATGGCTAAAAAAACCATCACCAGCAATGGAGTCACTCTGAGTAAAGTACGGTCACATGGAGGCTTCGTTGCTACTGGGCTTACAGGAATACCAATAAACGGTTCAGATGCAGAAGGTGAGGATGCCCTGAATTTGGAAGTGGGAGAGAGTAATAAAGTTTTAGGAGGAATCGAAAGTTGGCACGAGCCCAAGAAAGATGCAAACACAGTCACGAAAAGACATTCGTCTTCGGGGGGCAGTATCACCCAGGCTGTCAGCGACCTCCAAACGAAAGGAGCCTTCGGAGAAATAACGCAGGAATTTAACACACAGACAAATGGCTCAGAATATAAAGAGGTGATAGTCTCTGTTTTTATGGAAAATGAGGTCTCTTCTAAAGGCAGCGAGGAGGAAAATTTGTCAGGGAAGATAAATGTTGAAATTAGCTCGGGTAATGAGGAAAATGAGCAAGCAAGGGAACACTCATTACACAAATTAATTGAGATTTCTTCAAGCACTGTAGCCACAGATGGAGATTTAAAATCGAGCTCCAACACAGAAGTTTTGGGCAATAGCTTAATTCCGAATCAAAACACCGAAACTCCAGCTGATACCGAAAGAGTATTCACGGTAAGCATTCCTAGTAGCGAACGTGTTGCAGATGAATCAGGCATTAGGAGCAGTGGCAGTCACTCACGAGATTCTTCTGAAAATTCAGGCGAGTCTAAACGAAGTTTGCCTCTACTCGATCGGCGCGCCAGAGCCGCCAAAGTGAAAGGCAAACTTAAGATAAGGATCGACAGCTCTTCTTCTAGGTCTTCTTTGAATGAAGAGTGGTCTGACTCTGACCCAGTCAAGTACTGTGATGACTTAAGATAAGGATCGACAGCTCTTCTTCTAGGTCTTCTTTGAATGAAGAGTGGTCTGACTCAGACCCAGTCAAGAACTGTGATGACTTCCATGCGCATGCAAGTCACCCCAATAAAAAAGTCGGCGTAAAAGCCGCAGACGCGCAAAATAAGACAACAAAACAAATTTTGCCAGGCCAAAAAGATGACCATTTTACGAAAGATAATGAAAACAAACGAAGTTCGGGTGAGATCGGTACGAAAATTGATTACTGCGAAGCTCAGATAGAGACAGATCACGAAACTGAATCGCGAACTGTCAGTAAGCGTTTTGAATACAAAGGAGACACTCCGCGCCCTGACGCTTATGCTGATTCACCCCAAGAAGTTCCACATTTTGCCGTCATAGAATCTTATTGTTCGTCCCCAAATATAGGTTCCAAGGATATCGCGAAGGAAACAGTAAGAGAGTTTCCAAGTACAGTCGAAAAAAAATTGTCGAACAACAACAAAAATTATGAACGAAATCTCGAAAATGAATCTCCTGGTTTAATTATTCTTGAAAATCCAGCGTCAATGGAAAACTTTTCGCCTATACAGAGAAGAGCTTTTTCTCAGGAAATCATTAAAGGCCTCAGGGAAGGACAGTTGACTAGAAATCTCTTGGAAAGAAAGTGTTTTTTGGGAGCCAGTGAGGAATTGCTGCGAGAGAAAACTATGTATTTGAAAAAGAAAGCCGAGAAAAGACAAGAACGGAATAAAAACGATCCCAACGATGCTAGTTCAGATGATGATTCGTACCGCCAATCGGAATTTCAAGACATTTCTTCAAAGGGGCTACCGAGCAACACGTCACACTACGATGACACGAAATCAACGGGCAATGAACCAAAGCTTGAAATTTCTGACGTAATTATTGACAATAATTTCGAAACCACAGACGAATATTCCCGAGAAAAAAATATTAATTATTTACAAAGACAGAATCGCGAAGTAACATCGTTGTCCGGCACCAGGTTCTCCCAAGCATCTTGCAACAACGAAATTAACGACTTTCCAGACCTCCGTAGCGGACTAGATGTTAGGGTTGCATCTGCACTAGAAGCAGACAAATTGTTCATTGACACAGAGGGAGCTAAAAAGCACGACGTTACGCGGGACAATTTTCATGAGCAAGCCGAGAATAAAGGTTCCCTAACTGGAAAGAAAATGAGTGTGCCTGAACTGACCGTTGATTATTGTAGGAGAGGTCGAAGAGAGAGCAGCGCAACGGCAAAAAAATATAATCCTCACCATCACTGTCCATCAATAGAATTAAATCGCTCATCAAAAGCGAGTGATAGAAAAAGCTCGAAAGCCAATAATTCAATACAAAAAACAACAACGGCTAAACTTGAGCCAGGTACTTCTCGTAGTAACGCTGCACTTATAACTTCTCCAAGGCATATGAGAATGAACGATCAGCCTGTCGAGAAATTTGAAAGCTACGCGACGAATGACAAAAACACGAACTTGACTAGAAACAAAGATTTGAATTGCAGAAGACCAAGTGAAGCACATCTTAACGCTAACTTTCCAGACTCGAGAAGTCGCAGTAAAAGTCCGATGATGATGAACAGCATTCCAAGGAATCATGAGAGGCGTTTCTCTGAAGGGAGCGCAACAAGAAACCCCAACAAGAGCCCTGTGTTCCCAATCCCCAAGCCCTCGGATTCCAGAAGATACTCGTCATTTGGCTTGGATGCTCATAAGAATCAAATCCAGCATTCAAGAAGGCTCTCTAGGGAGCGTTCATCAGGACGTATTTACCCTCAACAAAACACATTTGCGTCGGAGCTTCAAGAGTCCCAACAGGGGAGCAAATTGTGTACGTCAGAGCAGTACACTCTTGCAGCCCCGCATCCTTCAGGGGCGAGGTGAGGGATGGGTGCGGTAGTAGCCATAAATTCAGTCAGTAGATACTTTCATTCCTTCATTTATTCATATTCTTTACGTGGGATGCTTTTCACATTGAAAAAATTCGTATACCATCAAATGCTACTTTTAATCAAAGTCGTCAAAAATATAAATCATTATTTACTGTGGAGGGAGTAAAATGTTTTGCAAAAGCATTTTTAGGGTAACATATTTTTTTAAATTGAAATATGGAATCGTTGCAAGATTTTATTGCAAATATCTCAAGTTTGTGTTTCTCACCAAAATAATTTTTTTTACTTCTCACCAAAATATCAATATTTATTTGCTTTATGTTTTCAAGATTTAATTAAGTATCGAGGATGTCATGGTGGGATGGAGAAGATTAATATTGTTACAGATACATAAATACGATAACTAAATACTTTACGCTAAAGAAATCCGTATTTCACTTGCTTAAAACGTGATGATTGCTACACACAAGATAAAATTAACAATCGCTGACTTTATAAATAGATAATAGTAACGAAAAAAAATTACCAGACGATTAAAAGGAATCATTTGGATTAATATAAGATACCCATTGCAGTAAGAAAAAAGCAACAAAAAGCTTATGAACCAATAGGGTTTCTCAAACTTTTATTTCTTGTACAGGAAAAAGACAGCTGATGCCTTGCGAAGTGCCGATTCAAAATCGTCCTTGAATCGCTGTCATCGTCACAGTTATTCATCATCATCGTCTGAATCGACGAGCGACTCCGATTCTTCGTCAGATGACGATTCTTCTACAGATTCGTCGTCAGATTCGTCCTCAGCCTTGGAAGATTTAGCACATCTTTCTTTGTATTCGTAATTTAATAAGTTGCAGTATTAGAAATAGTAAGAATATTATCAAACGATTTGAACTCTTAAAATAAGGATTTAATTTCCATTCTGATGTAAATAACATTATAAAACGACTTATCCTTGACATGAAACGAGAAGCAATAAAAACAAATAAAATAGAGAGGAAAACGAAGAAAGGTTTATGAAGCGTCCTTGCAATGCAGAGGAAAAGTTGAAAAATTGACGATGAACTTGACTTATTCAGATTTAACTGATGTTTAATTTTTTGTTCTAAGTAGTGATTGTTTACGTATAACAGTAGAAGTAAAAATATGGAATTGACAGAATGACTTATTTGAATGTATTTTTAAATAGACAGTAAAAATTTATACCTTCATTTTAAATTAAAATAGAAGTTTACACGATAACAAGGCACTTCAAGGTGAATGATAAATCTACAATTGCGTTTTTATTCCAGGCAGCAGATTTGAAGCTTTTATTATAAATTGCAATTCTGGATTTATATTACTAAACAAAGTGGCCATATAATTAATATATAAGCGTGGCCCTGGCATTCCCCTCCTACCTTTCTTACTTAGTTTACTTTAGTCCTTGTAAGTTTGCATTGAAGATAAATATATGGAATAAAAGTGTTTAGTAAAATTTATTGCGAAAAGTTGATATAATGCAAAAAATATAACTCTGTACTCACTGCAGTGAGTGAAAGAGAGCGCATTTTCTCGTCGACGAAACGTGAAGTCATGGACTGACAGACGGACATGACGAGCACAATAGGGCATTTTTTCCATAAGTGATAAAAAGCGCTAAAAATATAAAACTTAGGATAAAGGAGGCTACTAATCCTAATATTTCTCAGAAATTTACTTGTGTTCAGCCTCACCAAAAAAGTTAAAATCTAAATTACTTACGAGTTCATTTCGATAAGGCAAATGATATTCCAACCCATAGCTCCATAACGAACATTTCAACGTTATGGTATTTTATGCAATAAAGCAATTACGTGTATTTATTTATACAACTGATAAAGACTAATAGAAATCTCAGCAATAAAATTATATATCATGGTTACCTGCTGTGTCTGTCTCCTTGTCATATTTTGTTGCATTAAAGCATTGATTTGGGATCTTTTTCTTCATTTTACCTATAATTTTCACAGAAACAAGTATAATGGCTTTTATTCATCAATGCAAGATAAATAAGTTGCTGCAGCAAAGGTAGGAATTGAGAGCAATTGAATCTGAAAGACGTGCACAATTTGGATTCATAATTAATGAAATTGAGTATGCGATGACTCAATGAGATTCAATTTTCAAGAGGATGCCTCAATTTGAACTTTAATTAATAAAATGTACTCGAATCATGGAAATGTGCAATAATTTAACTTAAATAACGCTGAGAAAGAACAATTCGTTCTTTCACGGCGTTGGTAAAATGAAAAATGCGTTGACTGTTGCGTAAATAAAACGAAAGTTGCGTTAACTGTTGAGTCAATAAAATGAACGCTGCGTTAACTGTTACGTCAATAAAAAATTGCGTAAATTCAACTACTACGTAAACTACAAAGTAAAGAATTCGATCGGCACAGGTTCTAAAACCGTATAATTGGCAAACTCCCAAATATGTGGCTTAAATTATTTTGAACAATTATTAATATTGTTGAAGAAAAAACCGTGAAGGCAGATATCAGTATTCAATATGAACAAGTGGTGGCCACGACCGCTCACAATCACCGAGTAATTTAAAATACCTGCGAAATTATCGATTTAAATTTTTATCGAGTAATTTAAAAAATCGGCGACACTGGAATAAGAAAAAAGTGTATTAATTTGCATTTTTTATGCATTGAGTACCTAATGTATTTTCAATACCTAAAAAATCGGTAGAATGCGAAAAAGCCTCGCGATTTTGCCGTCACTTTAATCATTCTAACGCATTATGGCGTTAACGCAGCTAAGTGTTACAGAAGGGAAAGAAGTAAAAAAAATTGTAGCCCTCGCTTGTATTTGTAAAAGTACAAAGTTCTATGCTTATCAAAGAAGCTTACTAAGCTCTTATAGATAACAATGTCTGCATGTTCTTCTCATTGAATTTCATTAAATTTACGGAAAAATTATGATCTAATTCCGAAAGAGCACTACAAGACTTCGGGATAAATGTGATTTCAATCAAAATTTGTCAACAGGCAATAAAAAAATTCGGATGTAGAAAAATTTAAAGGACAAACAAAACAGTTTAATCCGTTTAATAAATTTGGCAAAAAAAAAATAATAATGAAACCGCAAACTTGTAGCTTTACACAACTAGTCAAGTTATAGTCTCGGCAGTCCAAACTATGTTATCGGAAAGATGACGGGGTAGATGTTAACTGTAGATAACTGTATATGATTTGTAGATGACGGGGTAGATGTTAACTGTAGATAACCTGTCTCTTATACACATCTAGATGTGTATAAGAGACAGACAGTTAACATCTACCCCGTCATCTACAAATCATATACAGTTATCTACAGTTAACATCTACCCAGTCATCTACAAATCATATACAGTTATCTACAGTTAACATCCTGTCTCTTATACACATCTAGATGTGTATAAGAGACAGGTAGATGACGGGGTAGATGTTAACTGTAGATAACTGTATATGATTTGTAGATGACGGGGTAGATGTTAACTGTAGATAACTGTATATGATTTGTAGATGACGGGGTAGATGTTAACTGTAGATAACAGTATATGATTTGTAGATGACGGGGTAGATGTTAACTGTAGATAACTGTATATGATTTGTAGATGACGGGGTAGATGTTAACTGTAGATAACTGTATATGATTTGTAGATGACGGGGTAGATGTTAACTGTAGATAACTGTATATGATTTGTAGATGACGGGGTAGATGTTAACTGTAGATAACTGTATATGATTTGTATAATGAATTATGATGGCATAATTTCAGTTAAAAGCACATTTGCAGCAACCAAACCCAATACAAAATATCAGTAATTATCCTATCAGTAAAATTCTGATTGAGAGCAATTACTGAAGTAGGTACATGAAGATAGATTCTATACATTGAGATAGTAAAGAAGTCAATTTCAACTGATATTTAGCCATACTTAGGTTGGAATAAACCTTGAAATTGAATTGAATATTAAATGTCATTTAAAACATGATGAGATTTATAGCAGAGACATTTGGATGAAAATAGCAAATACGATAGTTCGCTAATAGATTGAGTACACTCACTTTATTAAAATTCTAATTCAAACTTTAAAATTACCTTCTGTAGAAAAATATTGAATTTCGGCGTTAGAAAACTCATCAGTGATATGATTCAACACATGAGTGATACAAATCAATATCTACGATGTATAGTTATGAATTCTATTAAAGTACCTGAAGATAACAATAGAATCCGTTTAACAATGCAATTATCTAAGTAACAAATGCAGATATTGTGTAGGGATAAGTCTTTGCGCTAATAAATATTAACTAACTTCATGGCACTCGCGGAACATTTGACACAAGCTATGCGCATTGCTCAAAAAAAAAACATTGAACAGCAGGCACAGGTTGAAATATTCAAAAGTTTTCTCAGCACCTCGTTTCATGACCTACGAATATCATCTCCGTAAACAATTACCCAAGTAATAAAAACAACTGGTTATGTTAATGAAATTCGTGAGAATTGAAAAAAATCCCATCGTAAAAACCGTAAATCCTTCGTTGACATTTTCACTTGATAATTGTGCCAGTCAGTTTCTTCCCAAGCTTCATCGTTTTTATTTATTAACCAATTCTCCCAAGCTTAACAACCATCATCGTTCCCATTAATTCTCCCAAGCTTCACCATCATCGTCCCTATTACGACTTTTGAGGTACAGAGGAGACTAGCACAAGCCTACACTCAGGCACATGAGTGGGACCATGTCAAAAAATGATGCACTTTTTGCATTAAGTGCATCATCCTGACACGCTTGGGACAGGCAAAGTAGTAGTAGTAGTAGTAGTAGTAGAACGGTTTGCTAGCGCTTTAGCTTTCAAGCTATTTCGCGCCAGAGGTCAAAATGTAACGTCGCCTGAAGGCGGAAGGTCTCAATTATTCAAAAGAATATCATTGCTACGTCCCTCTATTGTCGCTATTTGGACAAAATGCCCCATTCATTTAACTGGCATCAAGTTTGCAGGCAATTTAGCCTTTGTATTTTAATTCATCAATTACAACAAACAAGTACAATTAATAATCTTGAACTCGCACAGAAGGGCAGAAGTAGATAGCAATACACACTATAGAAATTATAGAGAGCATTTGCCTGTAAACGGTCGCTAAAAATTAATATATTTAACTTGATGAAAACCAAATTAATCAATGATTGAGCCTGAAGAAAAAAAAATTTTATTTCAACACACGGCCAATATACGACTCAAAAAATCGTTATTTATTGCTCTTAAATAATATTACAATTAATTTCAACGAGCCGTCGTATTCCAATTAAAAATTAAAATCATTCAGTTTCAAAATGAACCCTAGAATTAATTCAGTTCTGTAAGACAACATGAATAGATTTCCTTGGTTAGAGATCGCAGTTATTTAAACACATAACATTTATCTTGCACTAAATCCACGGATTAAACTATTAGTATTTTTTCTACGAGGAAAAGATTGTCATCTTGAACACGAGAAGGCACAGTCGTGATCTTGACAGATCATTAAAATTACAACACTAATCAATAATAATATTTAGACTAATAATTAAAGATACCGGTAATATTGAGCATTTCAATCAATACCTTTCGTACCTACAGTACTGATTACACCGTGGATTGGCTTTAGATAGTTATAATAAAAAGGCAATGGAAGTGTAGTGATACATAACAATAGAAACTAATCGTCAACAGTAATCCATTAATGCATGCTTGTAAGCGTAAGTTGTAATGCATAAGTAACATTTTCCATACGCAGAACACATAGAAAATTTGTGTGGTGTAGATAATCTAAGTGAAAAACTCCTAAAATGTAGGAAGAGGTAGGAAGCGCTATATAATTCACATCAGAAGAGCGAGCTGCGGGTTCGAGCCTTAGGATCTCAGTTCATTATAGGCGACAGTTGATAGTGGCCGTCGAGGGCGGTGCTTCAGCATGGCCTAGGGTGGTGTCGAAAAACCGACTCCGAATAAGTATTACCTAAGACGATCTTGAGGAACATTCAAGAAGGTAGGAAAAATTTCAGAATTGCACACAAAAGTCGCGTCACTAAATGGCCGAGTAGGAGTCAGTTTGTCTAAAAAACAACATAAAAAATTTATCAAATAAATAATTTATCAAAATAAAAAAATTATAAGATAAAAAAAATTATCAAAATCAAAAATTTATCATCATAAATTATCAAAATAACTGGATCAAAAGTTGAAGATTTACACGCAGCTACCAATTGCAAGACTCTGAGAATTAAATTAAAGCTTAACTTCAAAGACCTGGAACTAAACGAATAACCCGCAGACATGAACTTACGCTAGCCAACATCATTACGATTATCTAAATTTAACTAGAAGCAGACATCTTTCATTGCTAGGGTAACGAAAGTAAAAAAAAAAACTTAAGATAAAATACGTACAAATCAAATGTAACCAGCATTTAATTTGAACACAAACACCACGAAAAATTACTGAAAAATAAGAGCTGAAAATTATGTCAGCCAATAAGTCCAGCAGCTATCTCAATCAATCGTCAGTTATGGAAAGATCGGGTTCCAGAGGCCTATTTGGGGCCTATTTCTTCAGTCCCGACACTTCTATTCTATTCAATGTACCAAGAATCATTTATGGTGGCATGAAACCATTACAGAAAAAATACATTATTCCGCTATGATATTTTTTACGCGGATGCTCTATACGAGAATTTCCATCACGTGTGGCCGGCCTAGAGATAAAGGAATTTAAATGTGTAAAATTTCCAATTCCATTAACATTTATAAAGCGTTGACCGCCTCATCAACTTCAAAGCATTATATAGAGCTAGTTTTTTATGGGTATTGGATTTATCAGGAAACATAATATGGCTACTATAGTTTTGAAATTTCAACCCCAAGCGTACATGACCAAGACAATTATCATCATAGATCTTAAGCCATTCATCATCATTATGGATCTTAACCCAATAATCACTATGGATCGTAAGCCGTTCATCATTATGGATAACCCAATAATAATTAAGGATCATAAGCCAGGTTAGGAGCTAGCCACTTCTGGACCGTATCCACGTCACTGCCTTGCCGCGCCGCGTAGTCTTCAACCTGCAAAAAATTTTCAATTACATCATGAACAATAATAAATAACAGAGAATAACAGAGAATTGTGACGAGGAAGTGCAATAATAAAGTTAATTCGGTTTACCCAGAACATCACACTAAATTTTAAGTAAGGATGCAAACAAAAATATAAAAAATAATAATTAAGAAAGAAGCCCGTAAATGATTATAGGATACAACAATCAATTTCATGTTGGATGTTATTGGGTGAAATCTATAAACCGGAGGAACTTTCCACACGTATACCTACATCCTAGGGCAGTCATTGGATGTGCTAAAATAACATTTACAACGTAAATCTTCGCTGATGTCCGATGTCGTCCCTAAGTTGAAGCCCCCATTAAACTGCATGTTCGCGGGTTAATATTAAAAATAAAATAGTTTGTCCCATCTCAACCTAAATCCTGATTAAAATACCATCTGTCATCCAAGTCCTGCCACTCAAAAAATCTAGATGGTATATTACTAAAAAAATGTTCACAACAGGACGTAAAGAAACTTGTACTGAACTTGAAACTTTGAAAAAATAACAATAACCGACAGTAATTCAACCTACCTCCGTTGTCTCGTTATGTTAACTCGATAAAGAATCTCAATTGCAAATCGGAGTCAAGTTTTCTGACTGACAGAAAACATTTCAGATGAAGCTGCACTAGTTTCATAAGCTTATCCGAGTAAACAAATAACAAAGGTTTAATAAAGTTAACAATAACAAAGGTTTAATAAACAATAACCTGTTCCTTGGATTTCAACAGTGACCAAACTCATCACGACTGCAACCACACACCTCCCAACTGTAATCACCCACACCACAACTGTAACCACACACAACTGTAACCACACACCACAACTGTGTAACCATTACACACCACAACCACTGTAACCATTACACACCACAACCACTGTAACCATTATTTACCTGTTCCCTGGTTATCTTGCCGACACTGAAGTACTGAGCGTGTGGATGGCCAAGATACACGCCACACACGGCAGCGGCAGGCCACATGGCAAGGCTGTCTGGCGTCAGGGATATGCCACACAGTTTGTCAGCCTCCAGCAGACGCCACATGGTCAGCTTCTCGCGGTGGTCGGGCTGACTTGGGTAGCCAGGTGCCGGCCGAATACCCTGTAAATAAGGCCACAATTACTGCAAGAATTAATAAATTTGATCAAAATGATCTAAAATTTGAACTAAATAAGGCAACAGTTACTGATGAAATTAATTAATTTGCTCAAAATGTTCATAAGTTCGAAGAAAATTAAAAATACAGCCGCTTACTTGCGAGGTAAAGCATTAAATAATGGCATAAATGCAAAGGTGTGATCATGGTATAAACTAGAATATTAAACACTTTTCAGTCTAACTCGACCTCCGACTCAGATTTATATTCCTTCAGTATTTATATGCCTCAGCCACTTTATATATTCCTTAAATATCGAATGCCTTGAGAAATATTTCTTCGGTACCTATCGCATGCCTCGATATGTATTCTTTCAATATCGAATGCCTCAGCAACTTTAAAACATAATCCGCAACATTATCACCCTGTATTTAAACCAGTGAATGTCAGTGCGATGCTGATGGCCTAAATGCTTCAGTATATTCAAGAATATTGATCATATCTTAGGCATCATATGCACATCACAGTTGTGCGTAAGGTAAGCAATTGGCAACAAAAACGAACGAGGGCAACTAAAACTGACGAGCACAATAGCCCCTGTCACCGAACAACGCTGCAACTTTTCAACGTTGTCAATAGGTTTAATTCAGCTCTACGGCCAAACGCCAGTAGCTTTTAATACGGTAATATTAATTTTAATAATCTTGTAATATGAAGACCGATCTGAATAAAATTTCTGTTGTAGGTATGTTATAGCACTTGGTTGTTCATTGAAACTTCAGTTAATCCGGATAAACGTAAATTTTATTTTAGTAGAAAACATTTCAAAAGAAGCCCAGTTAAAATGTGAAAACCATCGTTAACAGACGTTCAATATCGTTAAGCAGGTTGATAAATTTTTCACGGCACAGCTACAAGATTTAGCAATTACAAGATCTTTCGTGAGTCGGCAAGAAGAGCGAGCTTAAGAAGAACCTCACAGTAGGACTGGCGGGACACGACTGATTACTCGACTTACAGCCACCAGGGGCCATACTTTCAAAACTGTCTAAGTGAACGTAAGTACTTACGCTCTATTTTCTTGTCTGCGATTGGTGGATTTTGCTTGAAAGACCGTCAACGATTGAGTGAACGTAAGTACTTACGCTCTATTTTCTTGTCTATGATTGGTGGATTTTGCTTGAACTTTCGTCAATGATTGGCTGATGAACTTACGATCTCTTTACTTTTTCCGAAAGTATGGGCCCAGATCTCTCACGATGTCACTGTCACTGCTATGGCAGTCAGGTCGAACTCAAATGTTACTGAGACAACAACGCCACACGCAGCGGTACAATTATAATTGTATGGCGCCGAAACTGGTAGTTGACATGAGAGACTCAGTACTAAAAAACAGAGTCAATAATAAATACTTCACAGTAGAAACTAATACTAAATACCAGGTTTCTGTTAATAGACAACTGGTACCTGCTACAAATACCTGGTACCACCTGCTACCACCCAACTGGTACCTGCTACCTGCTACCACACACCTGGCACCTACTACCACACACCTGGTATCTGCTACCACACACCTGGTACCACACACCTGGTACCACACACCTGCTACCACACACCTGGCACCACACACCTGTTACCACACACCTGGCACCACACACCTGCTACCACACACCTGGTACTTGAGCCTGTGCAGGTCCTGGGGGCAGGCGCTGCTGGTCTCGTAGCCCCAAAGTTCGGTGCGCACGAGCGCGTGCAGGCGCTCAGCGAACGCCTCGGCCAGCCTGTCAGCGAGCGCCTTCGTCAGTATGATGCTGTAGTCGTCCTGACAGCCTTCAAACCTGTCCATGTATACACTGATAAGTAAGAAGCCTTCGTCAGTATGATGCTGTAGTCGTCCTGACAGCCTTCAAACCTGTCCATGTATACACTGATAAGTAAGAAGCCTTCGTCAGTATGATGCTGTAGTCGTCCTGACAGCCTTCAAACCTGTCCATGTATACACCTGTCTCTTATACACATCTAGATGTGTATAAGAGACAGACATGACTCACTCCTGACACACAGCAATCAAGGACACTTGACTCACTCCTGACACACAGCAATCAAGGACACTTGACTCACTCCTGACACACAGCAATCAAGGACACTTGACTCACTCCTGACACACAGCAATCAAGGACACTTGACTCACTCCTGACACACAGCAATCAAGGACACTTGACTCACTCCTGACACACAGTGAGGCACATGACTCACTCCTGACACATCTCCTGGACGCCGTGGCCTGCAGTGACAGCGAAGAGACCAACAGTGTCGGGCTGACCGCTGCCAGCAGGAGCTACGAAGTCAGCCAGGCAGCTGTAACTGCTGTCGCTCTCACGGTAGCTCTGTACAAACATAAAAGTATTAATTCAATCCATTCATGAATGGCTTTTAGTGGATTTATGCAAATATTAAAAAAAAAACTATGATTTATTTTGATATTTCTGTAACTAGGTGCCTGGTTTCCAAAAGGGTATTACTGGAGGTAAAGGTATTACTAAAATTATAAATTATATCAAAAATCTAAGATTGAGAACGGTATTTACGGGTAAGGTAGGAGTAAAAATATTTCATAATATAGACCTCGAGATTAAATTTGCATAACATAATATTTACGGTTATTATATGGGCATTATATGAAGTGCGTTCTAGGCGGTTGAAAGATGTACCTACACGATGCCAAAGTTATAAAAAAAAAAGAACACTAGCGTAAGGCTCTTGACATTGATATATTAAAAAACATAGATGGTTCTTATGGTTGATTAAAATATNACACGATGCCAAAGTTATAAAAAAACACTAGCTAGCGTAAGGCTCTTGACGTTGATATATTAAAAAACATAGATGGTTCCTATGGTTGATTAAAATATACCATAAAACAAAGGTAATCAATGAAGAGGAAAATTGTCCTGTTGCCATAGGGCAAGAAACCCCTTTTTTACTAACAGTAAACTCTTGATACAAGGCCTTCAGATATGAATAGCAATAGAGTGTAGCTGGCAAAGCTAAGGTGAATGCTGGTTAATAAAATTGGGTAACAGAAACTTCTTGAAAATAATACACCAGTAGTAATGACTAGCAAAGCTTAGGTGAATGCAATTGACCTGGCTTTAAAAAATTTAGTACCGTACAAAAGTTCTTGGTAACACAATGCACTAGTAAGTCAAAAAGATTGTTACAAAAAACACAAAGCAAATTACAAAATTAAAGAATCGACGCACCCGTTGCCTCAAACCATACAAAGTCTCGATGGTAGCACCTTGGTCGTCCAGTATAAGAATATCATCGCCGAGACTACAGGCGCAAAAATATTGCTATAAAAACAACAAAGCAAATTACAAAATAAAATAAACCACGCACCTGTTGCCTCAAACCATACAAAGTCTCAATGGTAGCGCCTTGTTCGTCCAGTATAAGAATATCGTCGCCTTTACTACAGGCGCGGTAGAGGCCGACGACGCCGCTGCAGCGCAGCAGCCTGCCCGCCTTGATGCGCCCCAGCAGCGCCTGCGCGTCCGCGAACACCTTACGTGCTTCTTCGCCTGCCCACACAACAAAATTTTAATACAAATTAAATAATACAGAATAAACATTTCACTTTGTGTGCTTTTCGCCAGCCCACACAACAAACTTTTAATCCAAATTAAATAATACAGAAAAAACATTTCACTTTGTCTGCTTCTTCGCCAGATTACGGGATAAACTTTTAATACAAATATGATAATACAGAAAAAAACATTTATTGGAGGATCGTTCGGATTTAAAATCTTCGCCTGACCACGGAACAAACTTTTAATACAAATAAAATAATACAGAAAAATACCAAAAAAATATATTGGTGGATTGTTCGGATTTAATAAAAATAAAATGAGAATCACAGATATACCTATAGACAAAAAAAAAATAAAAATCATTTATTGGAGGATCGTACAGTCGAAAGTAAACAAACTGAAAATCGACGAAATGCGTTCACTAAAATTGAAATTCAGCGAGAAGTAAACGAAAAGTATTCATAGAACTAAACTTTAGGTAAATAGAAAACTTATGCCAAGACATACGGTACCTACGTTACCGTATAGCAATTATTGAACAATACAATTAAATGTAAGCATCACAAAATATAGCCAAAGATACCAAACGAAATTCGGATCCTTACTTTTATGGTCGTTATGGCTTGGCTCTGTTGGTAGTTCGCTACCTCAACAAGGAGCGCTCCGTTCCTGGTCTCGGTGATCTTAGTTGGTTTGCCTTTGATGTGGCTGGCAAAGCTTAGGTGAATGCAATTTACCTGGTTAAAAAAATTGAGTACATTGAGTACAGAAGCTTCTTGGAAATAACACAAAGCACTAGTACCTATGTAAAAAAGATTACTATAAAAAACGCAAGCAAATTATAAAATTAAAGAAACCACGCACCTGTTGCCTCAAACCATACAAAGTCTCAATGGTAGCACCTTGGTCGTCCAGTATAAGAATATCGTCGCCTTTACTACAGGCGCGGTAGAGGCCGACGACGCCGCTGCAGCGCAGCAGCCTGCCCGCCTTGATGCGCCCCAGCAGCGCCTGCGCGTCCGCGAACACCTTACGTGCTTCTTCGCCTGATTACGGAATAAACTTTTAATTAATTTGTATTAATTATTAAAGAATTAAAGAATTAATTTGTATTAATTTGTATTAATTGCCCATGCAATTAGTAAAAATAAAATAATACAGAAAAATAGAAAAAAAACATTTATTAGAGGATCGTTCGGATTTAAGACAAAAATAAAAAAAAAACACAGAAATATAGACAAAAAAATATACATTTATTGGAGGATCGTTCGGATTTAAGACGAATAAAATAAAAACACAGAAATATAGACAAAACAAATAAAAAGCATTTACTGGAGGACTGTTCGGTCGAAAGTAAACAAACTGAAAATCGACGAAATGCGTTCACTAAAATTGAAATTCAGCGAGAAGTAAACGAAAAGTATTCATAAAACGAAAATTCAGGTAAACACTGAAATATAGACAACAAAAGCATTTATTTGAGGATCGTTCAGTCGAAAGCAAACAAACTGAAAATCAATGAAATGCATACAGTAAAGTTCAAGTGAGATTCAGTGAGAAGTAAGAAAAAAGAATTCATAAAACTAAACTTCAGGTTAATAAAAAACTTATGACAAGACATAAGAATTATTGAACAATGTAAGCATCACAAAAAATAGCCAAAGATACCAAACGAAATTCGGATCCTTACTCTAAATTTTAAAAGAAATACAATATGAATTCTATAAACCTATTTCACGCGATGAATAGGAAGAACTTTAACACATCTACAGCCTTCATTTTGTAACCTAATTCATTTCTTTCACAGTTTCATTACCTATAAAGTCTATTTCTAAGGAATGAAGAAAAATTCTTATAATCAACAGAAATAACGCACCCACAGTTTTGTCCTTGAAAATCTTAGGATATCCCCGGTTAGGATATTTCCCTTTCAGCTGCCAAACATCAAAGAAAGGCTTCCAGTCAATATATTCCTCGAGTTCCTCTATGGGGAAATCATCATAGACTTTCGTCCCATAGAAAGTAGGAGGTTTAGGAGCGAGCGTGAAATCAATCACAGGTTTCTTTGTCCTCGCTTCAGCCAGGGATAAATATTTTTTATCCTTAAGTCCCTCATAATGCATCTCCTGGATAGAGGCGTAGTCTTCTTTGAGGTCTTCGTAGAACTCGGGGTATGAGTTAGGGTCTAGCAGGGATGAACAGACCACGACACTACGGGATGCATCTAGCACGTGTACGACGGGTTGACGGTATGCGGGCTGGATCTTGACCGCGGTATGTGTCCGGGATGTCGTGGCACCGCCGATGAGCAGCGGGATGTTTAGACCAGACCTCTGCATCCCTGCGGCAACTGTCGTCATCTCGCTCAACGATGGCGTGATCAGACCTGCATTAATAAAACTAATATATTAACAAGCACAACATAATTTTATATTATATTGAACATATTAACAAGCACAAGATTATATTATATTATAACACAAAGCTGGGATCGAAGCCGCACCTCTCTGCTCCAATCTTGGAACTCATAACTTTAACCACTGGGCCTCCCAGCCCATATTAACCTCTACCGCCTGACACGAATAACCGGAGCAATATTGTGACACAAGCCTACCAAAAAAGAATTCGTTCCAGTGAGCGCAAATTGACTTGCACTGATGGTTGCCGCCATGTACGACAACTTTAAAATGTTCTCTGTTGCGTACAAACGTCCTCAGGTTGCTACGTACTCTCAATAGTTTATTTATAATTTGAGTAAAAAGTTATTTTCCCGGAGAGTGACATACGGCGGTAGAGGGTTAACAAACACAACATAATATAATATTATAACACAAGAAATGGAGTTACCAGGTGCGAAAAAGTTTAGTTTTTGATCGTCTCGTTCAGGAGTATCATCTCGATATCATATCGGCAGGGTTCTCACCTGCCGATTTCGATTAGCTTTCGTCCTGTTAAAAATGTTACATTTTCATCTCAAGTACGGATCCTAAGGGATTTTCAACTTCATTAACCAAAGGTAAATGGCAGAATGACTAACTAAAACATGGCAGCTTTTCTCTTCAACGACTATTAAAGAAGTTAATCCCATAAGAAAAATTTTGGCAACAATTAACAAATATCCCCTTAATGCCGCGAAAACACAAACACACAATGTTCGGTATTCATGCCAAACTTTATAAAACATTACTCATAATTGAGTGCATTTTCAAGGCTTTCCGTTGTATGGGATAGAAATCATTATTATTCAACTATCAAGGTATTAATGTAAAAATATTAATCGCTAATATTTATCGAATAAATTATCGATTGTCCAACATTTTAAATAGTAATTTTAGTTTAAAGTATACTGCAGACTAACTGCGGAAGGATGAGGTGATAGGATTGTTGTGCCGTGGAAAGCCGGAGCGGAGATATTTACTGGGTAAGGATGTGAATATGTAAATATATATGTGAATATATTTGATTATGAACAAATTATGTGAATATTTAGGTTATGTATATATGAATACATTTAATGTTTAGCCTTCTGTTATTTATTTATCTATTTCAGTTGTTTTTTTAGAAGAGCGTCAAATCAAGAGTTAGCCACGAATCTCAGCACTTGAGCTGATAAGCAAGGCATCACAAGATGGAAGCTGTGAACTTGAAATGTTGACGTGCTAGTGTTGTTCTTTATCATACTTTGTAACACGTTGATTATTTAATTTGTTCATATGAATGTGAGGTGTAATACAGGCTTTAATAATTATTCATCATTATCCCGAACCTATAAAGTCGAAAAGGTTAATTGGGATTTCCGAGAGCCCAAACATCGTCGTGAATTACGGTAATTTACGTCCGTACCAATAAGCATTTAATTAATAATTCCGTATTAATTTACGTCCGTACCAATAAGCCTTTACTCTTCGCCTCGAGGTATCCACGTGCAATGCTAACATCAAAGGCAAAAAAAAAATCATTTTAAACAACAAAAGGAGCCGGAAAATAGCTGCACCTACCTTGAATACAGATTCAAAAACTGTTTCACCTCATCGCCCGGCTTACAAAATTCTTGGAAGACTTACATAAATTTAAAATTCTAGAAGACCTACATGAATTTAAACTTTCTAGAAGACCTACATGAATATAAACTTTCTAGAAGACCTACATGAATTCAATATTCTAAAAGACCTACATAAATTCGAAATTTTAAAACATCTACATAAAAATAAGCTCTCGTAAATTTTAAATGCATATGTCGTTATGTTAAAAATCTATCATTATTATGTAACGATTAAATAATTAATTAATAAGAATCTCACCCGAGAGACCAACGATATCAGCTTTTTCTTTGACGGCAGCATCAAGTATTTTCTCCATAGGACACATGACGCCGAGGTCGACGACCCTGAAGTTGTTGCAGCCCAGCACCACGGCCACGATGTTCTTGCCGATGTCGTGAACATCACCCTTAACCGTAGCCAGCACTACCGTGCCAGCGTACCTGCTGTTCTCATCTGCACGGCACACGATAAAATATTGGTCGTGTCGCCAGCACTACCGTGCCAGCGTACCTGCTGTTCTCATCTGCACGGCACACGATAAAATATTAGTCGTGTCGCCAGCACTACCGTGCCCGCGTACCTGCTGTTCTCATCTGCACGGTACACGATAAAATATTAGTCGTGTCGCCAGCACTACCGTGCCCGCGTACCTGCTGTTCTCATCTGCACGGTACACGATAAAATATTAGTCGTGTCGCCAGCACTACCGTGCCCGCGTACCTGCTGTTCTCAACTGCACGAAACACGACAAAGTAAAAAAAAATTCGATAAAACAGCAGAGAGTCTCGATGCTTTTTGACAACCTCATCTGCACGACACACGATAAAAAACGTCAAAATATTCGCTAAAACAGCAGTGAGTCACGTTTTTTTGACAACTTCATTTGCACGACACACGACAAAGTGAGTCGAAAAATTCACTAAAACAACAGAGAGTCACGACGTTTCTTGAACAACAGTGAGTTTTTTTTTACAATCTCATCAGCACGGCACACGACAAAGTAAAATAAAAATCGCTAAAGCAATAGTGAGCACGATGCTGTTAGACAATCTCACCTGCACGGCACACGATACAATATTAGTCGTGTGTATTGCTTTAGAGTGATTAAATTCCTGGGTTTCAGAGAACTCTCGAGTTGAATTTAAAAAGTTATGAATATTAATTCTATTTTATAAATATTCGCTAAAACAACATTCAGTCATGAGGCTTTTTGGCAATCACACAAGAAAAAACATCGACTGAATTATCGTCTTAAAAATAACACTAAATACAAGCGCATTCATAAAATATATATAGGTCATGTACGTAGTCAAAATAGGGACACACATTCTGCATGTACTACTAATAAGGTCTTTACCAGTGCTAAACTGGGTCAGGCAGCCTCACACCATAACAAAAGGTGCATCGTTTTTAAACCTGGTCTCGGTAATTACTTTGAGTGTAGGTCAAAAAAATTTTTGGAAATATACAAAATTTTGTGTAACACAAAAACAACAAAGCGCCACTGCATAAGAGGAGCCATGTTTGAAAAGATAGAACCACCCAACGGTGGTGTATGTTGCAGACCTTGAATATTAAATAAACTCAACTTCATTGTTGAATGATATAAAATAATTACCGTATGGATAAGAATAATTCTATTTAGAGGAATACAATCAAACTTACTGGAAATTGGTAATTTTAGAGCACTGTCTCGGTGCAGAGAATGTTTCGTAACCAAAAACAAGCTTCCAAATGATAGATGATGTACGCGGTGATTAGCATAAACTCCCAATAATACAGAAATTTTCTTTCAAACATATTAGTATATTTTAATCAGAAAAGCGCTGATACCACTAATTCCAATTAAATTCAATACCGTAAAATGGGGTTACTTTGACCGGCGGGGTAACTTTGACCACTTTTCGTTTTTTTAACAAAAACCCCCAAAACTCAAAAACGATTTGACATAGAAAAATTTTTTCAATGGCCATTAAAGGCCTAATACTGAGGCTATGTAACCAATATAGAAAGATTTAAAAAGTTTGAATATCTAATAGGTTAAAAAATTAATAATGTGACCCACAAAAAAGAGCTATTATTTAAAGCCTGTCGGAGTACCCCCTCCAATTTTTTCTCATTTTTTGGTAAAATAACTTCAGGTTTTGATGCATTGTAGTAGAACTCTTCTAGTTACATATGCAACAGACAAATTTTAGGAAAGTGTCATAGTTTGCAAATGGGGGGCGCCGCCCTCCAATGGGGGAACTTTGACCACCTAATGGCAGCCATGACAGGGTAACATTAACCGGCTTGGAAATTAAGTTAAAATTACCATAGGTACCTATATAACATATTTTATGTTTGATACACCTATTAATGTTTTTTCTTTATGTTTCAGACTCTACAGAGTCTTATATATGGTAATTTTAGCTTAATTCCCAAACCGATCAATGTTACCCCGTCACGGCTGCCATTAGGTGGTCACATTTTGCCCATTGGAGGGCGGCGCCTCCCATTTGCAAACTATGACACTTTTATTGATGATTAGATGTGGTAATTACCTGCAGTAATTAATAATTAGACGCAGTAATTAAATCTGATAATTAATAATTAGAGGTAGGAATTACAGCTAATGATTAATAACTAAAGGTAGTAATCACCTGCAATAATTGATAATTAGAGGTAGTAATCACCTGCATTAATTAATAATTGCAATGGTAGTAATTAATGGTAGTAATTACCTATGATAATTAATAATTATAGGTAATATTATTATTTGTTATGTTCACTTAACTGATACCTGTAATGTTATATATCTTATATACATTTTTATGGTTACAAAACCTTTATACCCTAATTATATTTTTTGGGCACTTGTACATGTAATGCCATTACCTTGAAAAACACGATGCATGATTAACAACATAATTTTAGGACAATTCTGCCTCCATGAAGGGAATGAGGTGAGCTACGGCGCGCTTCATTACACGCGCTGACTTGATTACCTGTGGTAATTAATAACTAGCAATAATTCATAATTAGACATAGTAATTAACTGTAGTAATTAATGATTAACAATAATTCATAATTAGACATAGTAATTACCTGTAGTAATTAATGATTAACAATAATTCATAATTAGACAGTAATTACCTGTAGTAATTAATGATTAACAATAATTCATAATTAGACATAGTAATTAACTGTAATAATTAATAGTTAGCAAATAATTCATAATTAAAGGTAGCGATTACCTGCAGTAATTGATAATTGGAGGTGGTAATTACCTGCAGTAATTGATATTAGAGGTGGTAATTACCTGCAGTAATTGATGATTAGAGGTAGTAATTTTTAAAAACTTGCAGTAATAATAATTAGCAATAATTCATAATTATAGGTAGTAATTAACTCTAATAAATAATAATTAGAGGCAGTAAAAACCTGCAATAATTAATTAGAGGTAGTAATTACCCGCAATAGGTAATTAATAATTAGCAATTATTAATAATTAGAGGTCTAACCTAATCTACCTCTAATTAATAATTAATTACCTGCAGTAATTGAAAATTAGAGGTAGTAATTACCTGCAGTAATCGACAATAAAAGGTCGTGATTACCTGCAGTAATGATTAGAGGCAGTAATTACCTCTAATAATAATAATTAAAGGTAGTAATTACCACTGATACTTAATAATTAGAAGTAGTAATTACCTGCAGTAATTCATAATTAGAGGTAGTAATTACCTCTAATAATTAGAGGTAATATTATTACATGTTAGGTTCACTTATTTCTACGCTTTTAAATCATGGGCATACTTGATAGTATTATTTATTGGGAAATAATACCAGTAATGCTGTTAGGTTTATACCTTTTTATCTTTTTGATCTCCAAGCTCCAGCTAGAAATTTCGTTCGGCTTATCGAAAAGAACAATAAGAAAATCGTAAATAAAAAGTACGCTCTGGTCTTCAACCAAACCTGTATAAATGAAGAACTTCTGCCTAACTACACTAATATATATATAAGAATATATGTTTAATATAACAATAAAACTGGTCTTCCCGGTTGATATGACAATATAGGTATATGATAACAATATACCGGTATGTATAATATAACAATAGAAGTGGTCGCACCTGTTAATATAATATATGTAGGTATAATATAGCAATAAAAGTGTTCCAACCTGAGGTAGGAACATTTTGCCATAATAACAATATATGAACAATATAGCAATAAAAGTGGTGTTACCTGAGGTAGGAACATTTTGCCATAATAACAATATATGTATAATATAGCAATAAAAGTGCTCTTACCTGTTAATACAACAATATATATAACAATATATGTATAATATAACAATAAAAGTGTTGTAACCTGAGGTAGGAACATTTTGCCGGCCCCGAAGAGGTCGCCGACGGTGGACATGCCCTTCATGAGAGGCCCTTCGATGATGTGCAGAGGGCGGGGGTAGTCTAGGGTGCGCTGCCGGGCCTCTTCTGTGTCTGCTACTATGTACTGGTCTACACCCTGTGTAATGTATGTGATTGTAATGATGTAATTAATGAGGTAATTATTATGTATTATGTACAACCTGCACAATACTTGCGGCATGTGACATGTACATAGCATCATGTAATTAGTGACATAAGCCAGCGTAGTGACGCTGCTATGTACTGATCTACACCTGCATCATACTTGTGACATGTGACATGTACATAGCATCATGTAATTAGTGACATAAGCGAGTGTAGTGACGCTACTATGTACTGATCTATACCCTGCATGATATTTGTAATTGTAATGTAATAATTGTAATTATGTAATTATGTACAACCTGTATAATATTTATGGAATGTGACATGTACATAATATCATGTAATTAGTGACATAAGCCAACGAGGTACGCTACTATGTACTGGTCTACACCCTGCATAATATTTGTAGCATGATTAATTAGTGATGCAACTATGTACACACTGCATAATATTTATGTCATGTGACCTGTACATAACATCAAATACGGTAATCAGTGACATAAGCCAGCAAGGTAGACTACTATGTAGGTAGTGGTGTACACCCTGAGCACCATTAGTGACGTAATGTAATAAGTCAGCAGTACCTATCAGCCAACTGCTATTATAATTCCACGACAGAGAGCAATGATAATATAAAACGATACTCAAGCTCAGGTTTCAATAGACTAAACTATAGGGTTAAAAATTTTATCGTTCCAACATCACATGACCAACTAGTGACAATGTAAAAACGCCTAAAATAATCCTTTGCAGGAAGTTAGAAAAATATTTTAGCGATACTTCAACAATATAAGTACATATCTCATTAACAAATTAACAACATCTTAATACTGAACAATATAAGTACATATCTCAGTAAATTAACAGCATCTTAGCAATACCTCAACAATATAAGCACATATCTCATAAGCAAATTAACACCATCTTAACAGTACCTCAACAATTCAACTACACAATTCATTAGTAAATTAACAATACCTCAACAATATAAGTACACATCTCATTAGTAAATTAAGACCATCTTAATAATAACCTCAACAATTCAACTACATAATTCATCAGTAAATTAACACTATAAATTAACACAGTACCGGTACCTCAACAATATAAGTACATAATTCACAATTCATTAGTAAATTAACACCATATAAATTAACACAGTACCGGTACCTCAGCAATATAAGTACATAATTCTCAATTCATTAGTAAATTAACACCATATAAATTAACACAGTACCGGTACCTCAACAATATAAGTACATAATTCTTAATTCATTAGTAAATTAACAATACCCCCTACCTTAACCAGCGAGTACACTAGTCTCTCCTCGAGAGGTTTGGTCCGCCAGTCCTCGACAGCGACGCTGGCCTTGCCCTGACTGCTCGAGCTCTGTGCGTACTGCAGCAATTTCTCCGTACCTGTACAAGTTATTCTCTTTGTTACTTAACTAAAACTCAAGTAGTACTTTGTTACTGAATTAAAACTCAATTGGTAATATTATAATTGGAAAAAATCTAAATGTTTCAAGGGCATTGGCCATTCAGTGCTGAAAGTCACAACATGACACCCAGAAACAAGGCGGAAGGTTTTCATCATCGAACTTTTTATGTATCAAAAATCATATATTACCAACATCACAGAGCGGGAAGTTTCAAATGATCTACTGCTGAAGCCGGTGAGGAAAAAGTATCACTATCATCGTGGAGAGACAAATAAGTGCTAGATCTTAACAGTAAAAGTAACAGACAATCAGTCATAGTTGTTATAAGTAACAGTGAAAGTAACAGACAATCCGTCATAGTCGTTATAAGTAACAGTGAAAGTAACAGACAATCAGACATTGTAGTTATAAGTAACAGTGAAAGTAACCGACAATCCGCCATAGTTGTTGTAAGTAACAGTGAAAGCAACAGACAATCCGACATTGTAGTTATAAGTAACAGTGAAAGTAACCAACAATCCGTCATAGTTGTTATAATTAACAGTGAAAGTAACAGACAATCTGTCATAGTTGTTATAAGTAACAGTGAAAGCAACAGACAATCCGATATACCGGTACCTAGTTGTACGTAACAGCAAAATTAAGAAACAATCCGTCATGGTCGTTATACGGAACAGTAAAAGTAAAAAAAAAATTATAATTAAAGAAATTATTAGCATACCATTGGGGTCAGTATTGAAGAGCAGTGCCTCGCAGAGCTGCAGCAGCCGAGGTTCGATGTCGTCATAGACAGGCAGGCAACCTGCATTAACTATGCCCATGTCCATGCCGTGCTGTACAGCGTGGTACAGGAACACGCTGTGCATCGCCTCCCGTATTGTCTCCATGCCTGTAGTGCACAGCAAAGTCGTGAAATATTCTCTTTAAATCCAAAATATTTAAATTGGTTCAAATTTAGGTTAAAAAATATATAAAATGAAGGTACAGGATTTCTCGATATAGATCTGGCAGTGAATAAATGGCCCCTGAAATATTTTATTACACAACACAATATTGTATGAAATTTTATTTCTACAGCAATATTCAAAATGAATTCATTAGGTTATAACGAGTACTTCCTAATTTATTAAGCGATAAAAAGTTCTTACTTCATGAAGTGTTAAAATAAATGTTTCGGGCTTCAATAAACCTATTTTTCAAACGAGCACATTTACCTATAAAATGTGCAACATTAGTTTAATTCAAAGTTCATTCCAAGCTTAGAATTGTTTCATTAGTTATTACATTTCATCATTAATAACAAAGATAAGTTACTCACCTCTGAAGGCGAAGCTGAAATTGCTGACACCGCCGCTGATGCGAGCGCCTGGACACTTGGCCTACAGAACAACATATGTGATGATTTATACAACATATATGATGATTTTTACAACTTATATGATTTATACAACATACGTACACAATTTATACAACTTATATGATCTATACAACATATATAATTCATACAACTTATATGATTTACACAACATATACAATTTATACAACTTTGATAATTTAAATCAACGAATTCTCGGGTCGTTAATCGCACACGTATGAATAAACAAATTCTGACATCTAAAACTAATTTATACAACATATACATTACAAAGTATACAACATAACTCTTGTTCCGCTTCAGCTGCCGCACTATACAAAGAGTTACGAGCTCATAAATCAGTCGTATCTTTGAGACGTACCATGAAAAATATTATATATAAAATACGGTATATAATAATATACCTATACTAACACCGTCAGACAATCACATACGGCTTTTCTAGGTAAACCTACAATCACAAACGAAAAAAAAATAAATTGCTTATTGGACGCTACGAGTACTTATGCGAATTTTGATAGCACAACCTCTGAGAACCAATTGGGCAGACTAACCCCAAAAAAATTTTTACGTCCGGACCTATGCAGTTTGTAAATTTCATTTAAATTTTTATGTCCGGACCTATGAAGTTTATAAATTTCATTTCAATTTTAATGTCTGGACCTATGAAGTTTGTAAATATCATTGCGAGGTCTCAGGAATAAGTACGGCCTTGAGAGCAATCTCTGGAGCTGTATTTGTCCATTATTCAGTGAGTGTGTAAGATTTTCAGAAAACTCCCAAGACAAACAGATCTGTTGCTTTAGAGGAATAATAATACTTACAGAGATAGTTAGAACAAAAGCGCACCTTAATTTCATTCACAAATAAGAACGGGACTTCCAACGCACCTTGATTTCATTCACAAATAAAAATGTATCTAAAAATCACTTAAATTTCTAGCGCTTACAGAGATGAAATAAAAGCGCACCTTAATATTATTCACATATAAAAATTGATCTAAAAATCACTTAGATTTATAGCGCTTACAGAGATAAAAACATATATAAAAATGGATCAAAAAACACTCAACTTTCCAGCGCTTACAGAGATGAAATAAAAGCGCACCTTGATTTCATTCACAAATAAAAATGGAACTAAAAATCACTTGAATTTCCAGCGCTTACAAAGATAAAATAAAAGCGCACCTTGATTTCCTTGATTGATTTAAGGAAATTAAGTCCGTATTCATTGTGTTCTGGGATGCCGGTGGCGACAGTAAGGATGTTGGGGTCAAAGATGATGTCCTGAGGGTCGATGCCAACCACTGATGTTAGCAGCACGTACGACCGATGACAGATACGAACTTTGTCCTCCACTGTTGTGGCCTGTAATGGAAACTTGTGTACAGTTTACAGTCATAAATGCTGTAGCCTGCAATGAAAACTTGTGTACAGTTTGCAGTCATAAATGTTGTGGCCTGTAATTAAAAGTTTGTACAGTTTACAGCCATAAATGTTGTGGCCTGTAATTATTTGTGTACAGTTTACAGTCATAAATGCTGTAGCCTGTAATTAAAAGTTTGTACAGTTTACAGTCATAAATGCTGTAGCCTGCAATGAAAACTTGTGTACAGTTTACAGTCATAAATGTTGTAGCCTGCAATGAAAAATCCGTTTCATTTTTTAATGATAAAACTAAAACAGGATTCGTCAGGGATCCCTTTTGTTGATTTTACGACATTTTAGAAGCAGTTAGAAGTGTAAAGCAGTTTACCATTTATCCTTAGTACCCTTGATTTACCACTGCGCACCTGTCCTTATTCATCAAAGGCCATGACGTTGCATCAAAGGCCATTTACCATATATCCTTAGAATCCTTTGTTTACCACTCCGCACCTGTCCTTGTTCATCAAAGGCCATGACGACTAAGGCGGCTCCATATCGCTTCACAAGTCGCGCCTTGGCAAGGAAGTCCTGCTCGCCTTCCTTCAAGGAGATGCTGTTCACGATGCCTTTGCCTTGACTAGCCTTTAGGCCAGCCTCCACCACCGCAAAGTCAGAAGAGTCAATGCACAAAGGCACCTGCCGAATAAACACATGTAAAAATAAAAGGCACAAAGGCACCTGCCGAATAAACAGCATCAAACACGTGTAAAAAGTACTTATAAACGTACTAAGTACTAAAAACTTATATTATTTAAAACCCTGAAAACCCCTAAAAGTAAACAAAAATAGAAGTACTTATAAATGCTATGAAAAAGGCATGCATTTCAGAGGTGATATTGATGGATTAATAAAAGTAAAAATCAATATACAATGGTATCAATTTGACATACATTATTTAAAATATAAATTAAACTTGCATAAGATCGAACATGGTTATGAAATTAATATGACGGTTAATTAATAAAATTAATATGATGAAAATATCATGCACGTCTCGTACCTAATATTTTTAGCCACTAATGTGTTTACACTTTCAGTTCTTTAGTTTCAGGAAATTAATAAACGATTTCATATTAGCGCTCAATTACATAATTCCATATTTTTATTTAACCCATGTGCCAGCTAACGTCAAGTAAATTTTGCTTGCTTCTTTCTCGTTAATATAAAGTGCTTAACATCCGCTGATAAATCAAACATCCATAATTCAATTTGACATCCAATCAATAAACAGAAGCAGTTTAGCCCAACGTACGGGTGGCTTTATTTCATTAAAAATTTTATATAGACCTACATGCGGAAGCCACTCTAGATTTAATTTTCAACTATCTGCCTTGAAGGTACAAACTTCATAACTTTAACTACCAGAAATTCATACCATCACAAGCAATATCGTGTAACATGACTGGCTAATTATACACGTGAAGAAGTAAAAAATTACAACAATTTCTTGTGGAATATGTAGCATACTGTAATAATAAAGTAACATACTATAACAATGTAACTAATTATAATAATAAGACTAAAGTAACATACTATAACAAAGTAAGATGGTATAAATGTACCTTGCAGACATCAGGCTCGGTGGCGATGAGGTTGAGGAACTTGGTCATGGCGGCCACGCCGTCCAGTAAGCCTTCGTCCATGTTGATGTCCAGCACCTGGGCGCCGTTCTCAACCTTCGATAAATAATTTTATTATAATATATAATTATATGTTATTTATACAACACTTTCAAGCTTCAATACATACTTTTATTATAATATATGATTATATGTCATTTATACAACACTTTCAACCTTCAAAAGATACTTTTATTATAATATATAATCATATGTTATTTATACAACACTTTCAAAACTGAGAAAATTTCGCTTTTTACGGAGAAGAAATGGAATAAGGCTAAGAATTCAATTCAAAATGTAAGCTGATTGTTCAAAAATTTTTTTGTCCAGTGATCTGTGTAAAACTTTGCAACATTTTTTAAAAATCACTGATGTGCAACCGAAATGAACTTTAAAGAATTTGTTGAAAAACTTGACGAATTTCTGAAGAGTTTCTCAAGTTTTATGACTTAAAGGGACCAGTCATTACAATTGAGAAAATTAGTCATAACATTCACATTACAAAACCAGTAAACGAGTAAGAAAATCCACAGTAATTATAAACCATAAAAAATTAATAATTAAAATCATAGAAAATTAACGATTATAAAGCGTGGAAAATTGATGATTATAAACCATCAAAAATTAATGATTATTAATCATCAAAAATTAATAAAAATTCTGTGTACTATTTATATTTATCCATAAATATCCATTGAGTATTTCGTCACACATTCATCCCACGTCAGCACCTGGGTCTTGGCAATAGCTAGCGCCTCGTCATATTTATTCTTTATACACGTGAAGAAGTAAAAAATTACAACAATTTCTTGTGGAATATGTAGCATACTGTAATAATAAAGTAACATACTAAAATAAAAATGTAACACACTATAATAATAACAATAGTTTAACATAGTATAATAATAATAATGTAACATACTATCATTTTAACAATAATGTAAAATACTATATTAATAACAATAATGTAACATACTATAACAGCAACAATGTAACTAATTATAATAATAAGACTAAAGTAACATACTATAACAAAGAAAGGTAGTATAAATGTACCTTGCAGACGTCAGGCTCGGTGGCTATGAGGTTGAGAAACTTGTAATAATAATAACGTAACCTACTATAATAATAATAATAATAATGTAACATACCATAATAATAATAATGCGAGATACTATAATAACAATAAAGTAAGATAATATATCTACCTTGCAGACGTCAGGCTCGGTGGCTATGAGGTTGAGGAACTTGGTCATGGCGGCCACGCCGTCCAGTAAGCCTTCGTCCATGTTGATGTCCAGCACCTGGGCGCCGTTCTCTACCTTCAATTCATACTTTTATTATAATATAGAATCATATGTTATTTATACAACACTTTCAACCTTCAATACATACTTTTATTATAATATATATTTATGTGTTATTTATTCAACACTTTTAGAACAGAGATAATTTCGCTTATTTACGGCGAAGAAATGGAATAAGGCTAAGAATTCAATTCAAAATGTAAGCTGATTGTTCAAAAAATTTTTTGCCCAGTGATCTTAGCGCCTCGTCATGTTTATTCATGAGCACCTGGGTCTTGGCAATAGCGAGCGCCTCGTCATGTTTATTCATAAGCACCTGGGTCTTGGCAATAGCGAGCGCCTCGTCATGTTTATTGGTCTTGACGAGGCGGCAGAAGAGACGAGACCCCGCGACGTTGCAGCGCTCGCCGATGTTGACGAAGTTCGTGTGGCTCGTCACGTAGGAGGGCTCGAGTCCGCTCAGTAGCAGCGTGTTGGGGTGCGGGTTACTGGGAGGTGTGCGTGGTCGACACGACTTAACAGCTGCTGCTATTGCTCTGTAGGGACGGAGGATATGGTGTTATTAAATTAAAATTGAATGTAAATTATTTTTAATGTTGGTTAGAATTGAATAAATGTGGGGGGCATGAAGCCCGCCCTATAGCATCACCTGATATCTAGCACTTTCATCTTAATTGAAGATGCTCATATTATGAACCAGTAAGAAGTTCCCGTATTTTAAAGCCTGAGAGCATCACCTAATATGCTGCTCTTTTGTCTTGAAGGTTTAACAATTAGCTGAAAACGCACATAATAAAGCTGTGAGAAATAATCTCCCTTTATAAGGCATGAGATTCGATGTGTCTTGTATCATCACCCGATGTGATGAGATGTGGCTGTATCATCACCTGATGTATGATGTGCCGTGTATCATCACCTGATGTGGTGAGGTGTGGCTGTATCATCACCTGATGTGCCCTGTATCATCACCTGATGTGGTGAGGTGTGGTGCCACAACATCCTGTATCATCACCTGATGTGGTGAGGTGTGGTGCCACAACATCCTGTATCATCACCTGATGTGGTGAGGTGTGGTGCCACAACATCCTGTATCATCACCTGATGTGGTGAGGTGTGGTGCCACAACATCCCCCCACGACGTTCACGAGACCATCACGAGCGAAGCCTCCCACGATCTCCGCCATCTCCTCCGGCGTCTCGTCGTAAGCACCGAACGCGTTCGGCAGGCCTGTTCATAATAATAATAAATATTAGTCCAAATGTACATAATAATAATAACTGTTAGTCCTAAATGTTATTCCTTTAGTAAATAATTAAGGTTTCAGTTATTCTATTATTAAAAAGCTCTCGTTCGGCGTCTCGTTGTAAGCGCCGAATGCGTTCGGCAGGCCTGTTCATAATAATAATAAATGTTAGTGCTAAGTGTTAGTCCGAGATGTTAATCCTTTACTAAATAATCAAGGTTTTATGTTATTCCATTGTTAAAGAGCCCTCGTCCGGCATCTCATCGTAATCGCTGGGCCTTTTAATACCGCGAATATAATGGACATTTATACTCTTATTTAAACTTCATGTTCCGCGATAGATTTATAGACTTTATTTATAGATAAGAGATTTTAAACTCGTATTAAAGAGCTAAGGTGCCATGTGTAATTTTTATATACCATAGTGAAGAGTATTGAGTGGTTGCCAAATGATAAAGTTGGTACAAAAATGAAACATTCCGACATAAAGAGCTTAGAGTAGGGAGTCGATGATTAAGGTAGAGTGGATAAGAAACATTACTAGGAGTGAAGGTATATAAATGAGATGTTAATCCTCTAGTAAATCGCTACGGTTAATGGGTAGATAGGGCAAAGATATCTCCAGTTTGGTGAGCGTGAGGGGAAAGAGCAGGTTAAAAAATTAAAAACCAGAATTATACCGTTACTGCCAGTTAAGTAAAATTTTGATTATTTTCAAACGAGATCTTTTAAAACATGATAAATAAATTTAATGATAAATTCAAAGTTCGTCAGGTAAGTAAACGTGCATGATTGGCATTTGACTTTTTTTTTAAATGGCGCTTAAACTTAGACACCAGTAGGAACACTAATAATACAGGCAACTGCTGTCTTCGCATACATTTAAGTATAGTTGAAAGAAAACTAAAAATCAACAAAGCGAATGAGTAAGTTCACTGAAAATTATGGTTCAACATTGACCAGCATCTAAATATACAAATGCACTGAATACACTAGAAATAAGGACTGATTTACAAATGCACTCAATACACAAGAAATAAGACTAAGTATTGACCAGCGTTCATGTCTACTAATGCACTGAATACATTAGAAAAAGATAAATAAGTATTGATAAGAAATAGGTATTGACCAGCGTTGATATCTACTAATGCACTGAATACACAAGAAATAAGGACTGATTTACAAATGCACTGAATACACTATAAATAAGGACTTTTCTACTAATGCACTGAATACACAAGAAATAAGACTAAGTATTGACCAGCGTTCATATCTACAAATGCACTGAATACACTAGAAATAATGACTGATTTACAAATGCACTGAATACACTATAAATAAGGTCTTTTCTACAAATGCACTCAATACACAAGAAATAAGACTGAATATTGACCAGCGTTGAGATCTACATATGCACTGAATACACTAGGAAAAGATAAATAAGTATTGATAATAAATAAGCATTGACCAGCGTTGGGGTAGCACAGCACTCTAGCGGAGGTGTTGGCTGCGATACGCGACAGGAACGGCCGCATCTCTGCGGCACCCAGCGCGCAGTTCAGACCCACGCTGTAAAGAGGGACATTGCAGTGAATACGAGCACCATACTACGATTCACATTCGTTTTATTAGCATAACATTTTCTTATGGCATTCTATAGTCCCGCGCTGCAAAGAAGGACATTGCAGTGAATGAGAGTACCATTATATGATTCATATTCATTTTATTAGCACAACATACTTTCACGGCAACCGAGTCCCAAAATGCAGGGCAGACATTGCAGTGAATGAGAGCACCATTCTACGATTTACATTCATTTTATTAGCATAACATTTCTTGTGGCATTCTAGTCCTGCATTGCAGGGCAGACATTGCAGTGAATGAGAGCACAATTCTATATTTCACATTCATTTCCTTAACATTACATCTTTTCCCGGCATTCTAGTCCCAGGGCAGACATTGCAGTGAATGCGAGTGGCATTTCATAAGAACTTTCCTTTTAACCTTCCAACAGAATTCAAAACAAACTTTTGCGTAAAGAATTTTTTTTCAATATGAAGCTAGAAAAGGGGAGGACATAATAAGTGACCAAAATTGCAACAAATAAAAATAGTACATCCAAAAATTTCAATATTTCTAAATAATACTAGGCACATATTATTGAATACAAATTTAGGAAGTTCTTAATTCGTTTCTTCTAGATCACTCATAATTGCATTCAACTTCAATTTTTTTTTCTAATTCATTACGAGCAAACTAGGATTCCAAGCCGCACATTGTTTCAAGATTCACCACACTAGCATGTCTCACCACACTAGCATGTCACACCACACTAGCATGTCACACCACACTAGCATGTCACACCACACTAGCATGTCTCACCACACTAGCATGTCTCACCACACTAGCATGTCTCACCACACTAGCATGTCTCACCCCACTAGCATGTCTCACCACACTAGCATGTCTCACCACACTAGTATGTCTCACCCCACTAGCATGTCTCACCACACTAGCGAGTCTCACCACATTGGCTTAGCATGCATCACGCTGATGAGGAACGCTTCCCCCGTCTGGCCTGATAACGTGCGTCCCGATTTGTCCACAATTGTGCCTGAAACCTGCATAATAATAACTAGCGTACAAAGATGGTACAAATAAAAGCCTCGATATCAGGTACCTATGCAAAACCTTGATAATAAACAGAAAAGGAAAAGAGCAGTTGCAATAAGATGAAAAAACATCAGGGAAAGGCAGACGCCAACATATTTATCAGTACCTATAAATGTAAAAAAAAATATTTTTAAAATCAGTGAAAACATTGCAAGAAGGCGGTAAAATCATCAGGACACAGATGCTAGGTAACATATTTATTGGTACCAATGGACGAAAAAATGCAATAACAAAATAGACTCTCACAATGATACAAAACAAAGCATCAGGAACAGGAATGCAGACATGAACATATTAATGTAAAACAAAGTGGGANACAACAACAACAATGTAAACCAATATGGAAAAATTTTTATAATAAAAACACATATTCGCAATATGACAAAAAAATCATTAGGGATGTTTAGCTAACTCACAAAGATGGGTCTAGGCAGATAATGGCCTTCATCAAAGAGAGTTTGTATAGCGAAGAGAGCTGCCCTGGCATTGGCCGTGTCAAAGATGGTTTCAACAAGTAGCAGGTGCACTCCTCCGTCCAACAGGCCTCGGGCTTGTTCTGTGTACGCTGCCACCAGCTCGTCAAACGCTGCTCACGAAAATCAATCATTGTATTAATGTATTTACAGTAGGTATATTGTGTATTTAAATTAAACTTTATTCATTTCAATGATAAGTTTAAGCATTATTTATCTGGGTTGTATGTAACCATAAAATTTCAGCTACGACGCATGGCGTTTGGGAAGGAAATGCAAGGTTCTGACAGTAAAAACAGATAACATGGCAGGATCTTGAACGCACACAGCTATACAGCCTCTGTAATTAAGAAATTTATCATCAAAAAATGACATTACCTGAGAGATACGATTTGTTGTGGGTTTAAATTTACTTATTTTGCCCGCTGTCACATAGGTACTGATAAACCACAAAAGAAATTTCCCCCAAGAGATGCAAATATGGTAAGCTCACTGACGTCCGAAAGCTCGGTTTACATCAGGCGATATGGAGTCTTGGGTTTCAATATACATATTTTGACCTATGTCACATACAGTAGGTACTGCAAAACCACAAAAGAAATTTCTCCTCAGAGATGCAAACATCAACTCACTGACGTTCCGAAAGCTCGGCTGCTCGACATCCGGCGATATGGAGAGAGTGCGGTTAGTTAGGTAGGTAGGTACATATTTTGACAGCAGTCACGTACTGATGAAACACATAGGAAATTTCCCCTAAGAGATGCAAACATCAACTCACTGACGTTCCGAAAGCTCGGCTGCTCGACGTCAGGCGATATGGAGAGAGTGCGGTTGGTGGGGCCCATGGCGCCCGCTGCAAATTTTGGTACACCGCTCCTGGAGCTCGCGGCCTCGGCAGCTGCTACTGCTAAGCGGGCTGAGCTCAAGTTCAAACTGTTGAATAATAATCATTAACTAAAATTTTTAATAGGCAATCAGTAGGATTTTCACACAAAGTAAGACTTAAGGTTAGCTTGAAAGTTTTCAAATGTGCAATTAAGTGGTAAAATCTGGAAATTATGCTTGCAATAAATGGTAATAAATAAATGCCAATAAATAAATATTGGCAAATTATATTCTTGGAATCAGCTGTTGCTTTCAATTTCTTTTGGTACTAGCTACCAGTAAGTACCTATATGCAGAAGCAATTAGTCAAAGGCATAGAAGCCCCAGAAGTCTAATTTTCAGACACATTTTCACAAAATATATATCCTCAAATAGTTTGAAAGTTAAGATTTGCTAGATATTACTTGAATTTGACTTTAAATCCTGTAACCATGGCAATTGATGATAGAAATTGCTCCCACTTTGTAGCTGAAGTAACCTAGTACAGCAATCCCTTGATTAGCACGGTTTTGAATACCGCGGTTTTGATTACCGAGGGAAAAAAATTTGCAACCTACCCTTAATCTACGCGGTGCCAGTTTTGATTAGCGCGACTTTTTTTTCACAACGCATCATTTTCATGCCTCTAGCCAGAGGTGTTACATTCGTAACAAAAGTGTTACCACTTTTTGCTTATTAGATCTTATGTTGTTACTTTTGTTATGACTTTTGGAAAAATTCGCCAAATGTTGTTACTTTATGAATTTCAGCCAATAATTTAGCAACACCCTGACTCGGATACACAAGTAAAATTTTATGTTGATACAAACAATTCATTTTAAAAATCTTCGTGGTGCAGGAAGGCAATAAAACGTTGACTCTGATTGCTGCATCTTGTACGTACTAGGTATTATTTCACTTGTTGTACTTTAATTAAATACACAAATTGAGGATTTATATTGATTTTTCATTGGACCTAAGCATTCTACTACCGTACCTGAATAATATGTATAATGTGTTAGTAGTACAGTAAAATCTATTTTGAAAAAAGTGTTAGTTAGTAGTACAGTAAAATCTATTTTGAAAAAAGTGTTAAAGTAATTGAAATGGGACTTATATGTATCTATCATTACTTATACTCTGAAGGAATACACCTTGTGGTATGCATTTGTCATTTTGGAATTAACATTTTTAATTGACTCACTTGTAAACCTGATCCTGCAATCCATAGTCAGCTTGTGCTATAGAAGTGCCACTGAATGTGTTGGTCTCAATGATGTCGGCACCTGCCTCAAGATAAGCCTGAAAACCAGCAATAAATGACAATCAAACAACCCATTAACAAACGTGTGTTATTCTAGACAGATACCATGAGCAGTGCTAGACACATTAACCTAAAAATGTCAAAGAATTTAAATTTCTTAGCATACCTCCAAAATTACAATACAAACATTCAACTTCAGTCTCTCAAATTATTTTAAAATACAAGAAATTAATAGATTCAATCCAAGATCCAGATGAATTAATTTAGTTCAAGTACTCCTATTGCTAGAAATTATTACCATCTTCCTTCAAGACTGGCCAAAGCTTAGCAGGTGAAATTGTGATAAAAACTATAGATTATATACCTACCGTACTACTATATTTAATTATTGATCATGAGAGTTTAATGTTTTATATTACACTGCTTCTCATTGTTATCAGCAAACTAAAACAAACACTAAAAAGAAATCTTAATCAGTTGATGTCTTCACTTACAAAATATGCACCAAATAAATTGAATGCATTAGTATATACCATATTTTAATGGGGTTGTGATGTTCAGAAATGAATTATACAGAAAAACTGAGTTCCATGCTAAATCATAACTGTATTTACACAAACCTTATGGATTTCAGTAATAATATTAGGCTGTGTAATGGAAAGAACATCATTATTGCCTTTGAGCGGCATGTGATGATCTTTGAATGCCGTGCCACGATAATCTTCTTCTCTGAGGTTATGTTGCTGGATCATCGTACCCATGGCACCATCAATGATAAGCACACGTTCTGAAAGGGCTGCATCCAGTGCCTCCATCTGGCCTGTCATGAAAATATAGGTGAAATAAATATTGGCAAATTATATTCTTGGAATCAGCTGTTGCTTTCAATTTCTTTTGGTACTAGCTACCAGTAAGTACCTATATGCAGAAGCAATTAGCCAAAGGCATAGAAGCCCCGGAAGTCTAATTTTCAGACACATTTTCACAAAATATATATCCTCAAATAGTTTGAAAGTTAAGATTTGCTAGATATTACTTGAATTTGACTTTAAATCCTGTAACCATGGCCATTGATGATAGAAGTCGCTCCCACTTTGTTAGCTGAAGTAACCTAGTAGTGTTACTTAGGCTGAAGATGCTACTGTAGTGATTCATCTTGATATTAAATATCCTGATTGCATAAACATTCAATATTTGTTATGTAGGTACATTTCTATAGATATTTAGTACAGCAATTTTTGTTTGTTGGACCTCTTCTGGAGGTGGCTACTACTACCTAGTAGAGGCTACTGGCCAGTACTACTACTATTGAGTAGGCCTCGTTGATATACTAACAAAATTCACAATTACTCTAGACAGGGCACAATGAAATAACATAATTATAATACCCAAAGACTGCAAAACACACTAATGACTAATGACAGTTTGAAACTATCAGTATCACTGTGTCTCACACAACACTGTCTACACACAGGCACCCGCACACACCTCTGATTGCAGATGTATTTTCTTGAGGAGGCATTTTGTTTTCATTTGCTGTAGCCAGTAGGATTTTTTGAATAACAGTTCTGCCTTTAGCTGTTGTAACTGCCAACCTGTACCTGGACCTGGCAAGATTATTCAACTCACAGTCACAGCCACTCTTCAGAGGTGGGCAGTAGCGTGCTACATTTTCAGTAGCGGCAGCAGCGCTACATTTAAGGCAATGTAGTGGTAGCGGTGGCGCACGCTACATATTTAAGTAGCGATACAAGGTTTTGCCGCTACAGTGCTACCGCTACATTTAACCATTTATAGATAAAGCCTTTAGATTTTACTTTATAGCTTAATATATTATTTAGAAACCAGCATGATACATACATAATATATATTGCAGAATAAAACTATACAAAAAGGTGCTTGTACATGGGGACAGTACTGGCAGCTAGTAGATCAGAAAAATGCCAAATGTCTGCCGCTTGGTGTCTATCCTGCAAGCAAGCATAGACAAGCGACAAGTTTAGAGTGCCACCGTGCCGGTATCTAGTTGTTACCAGCACGGCGGCACCTAAAACTTGCCTCGTGTCTAAGCTTCCTTGCGGGATAGACACCAAGCGGCAGACATTTGGCATTTTTCTGATCTACTTGCCGCCAGTACTGTCCCTGTGTACAAGCACCTAAAGATTTCACTTTCGGTGTAATGTTGTCAACCTCAGCCTGTTACTAGGCTATATAGTGTCAACAATCACCATGTTAGTTGTTACTTGATAAATACTTGTTAAGTTGCTACTTAGCGGCAGTCTTAGCCTACTTGTTATATGAAGCATAAAGCACTGCAAGACTGATAGATCCCAGCAGTAAAAAGCGCCTCGTGTGAAAGATTGCGCAGTAAATACTGCCGCGGCATTTTTGACGCGGCAGTATCTACTGCCCTGTGTGAAAGGGGCCTTAGTGATTTAGAGCATGCTGCATGTAGCGGCACTGCAGCAGGCGCCAGGCGGTAGGCTAGCAGTAGCGCCGCTACATTTCAAAGTAACGCTGCCCAGCTCTGTGCACTCTTACTGACTTACACTGTTATTTAACAGTATGTTTTTCCTAACACTCAAGTTAAGCTGGAGCTGGTCCAGCTGGACTGCAGGAAAACAGTTAGGAATGGGAAGAAACATTCTATTAATTCGGGGAAAGTTTTTAGATTGCATACGTTCATCAGTAACCAGACTATCAGACATATTTGCAACTAAACTCAATAAAAATATAGTTCAAATTTATTTTTTCCTAACTGTGGTAACTGGTAGGTGGTAGGAAGTATTGTTAGCCTATAATTGTTTCATCACTTTCACGGCATGTCGTTTTGTTTACATCGGAAAGTGTCTGAACATCACTTCGTCTTCACGCTTATTCTGTTCACGTTTCGTAAGCAGAGGTAAACGGAATGGAGAATTTTTATATAAGAAGCTTAAAATATAAGTACTCTACAATATTTCATCATCAAAATTAATAATTACGTTCATATTTCCTCAGCATTCATATACGTTACAGTTGCATCGCAGAATGCCGTCATGCCGACACTCAGTCAGTCGAACACAGTGAGAGTAACACGTGATCATCAGCTGACGTAAATCCCGGCAACTACGCAAATGATCCATCATCCACAAACGAAATATTCTTACCACGAAATTTGGTGAAGAATTGTCAACAGCTTTCAATGAAATTTATCACGAAAATTATTCAGCGTTTGGTCTATTGTCAGATCTTACCAAGCTTAAAACAATATTTGAATAATTAAATTTGTAACGAGGCGGGACGACCCGATGACCGAGTGGTTAAAAGTTGAGTTAGAGCCCAAATTCGGAGCAGGAGCAGTGTGCTTAGGGCTTAGGCTTGATTTTAATAGGTAGGTACCAGCAGCAGCTAAGGTTCGAAAAGTTGTGTTCATAATTGGCGAGGTGGCTGGACCCGGACATTTAATTAAGCACACTGGAACTGGATATTAGATGCTTAGAGCAGTGAATTCACTGAATTGCCTTTTCGTCTTTCGAGAAAGGCGAGTGGCGAGCTCTTCAACTTCAAACATTCTCTCTGGACAACTCTTAACCACCCGTGTTTAATTCCTGAGTTGTGCATTTTGCTTGTCACTAGATGGGAATTTTCCTACTCAAGCATAAAATCTCGCAGCTTCAAAGTGACCAATTCTTATTTTCACTTCTGAAATTTCACTGACCAGTGACCAATTGTGCAGTTTCATTCACATTCACTAATCACAATTAGCTAGGAGATACTAATACATCTATTCTAGGTTAGTAGGTAGTGGCGCAGTACGGCACTAACGGCAGTAGTGGGTAGGTAGCTAGCAGCTTTAAAAATGATGGAAAGCTCAAGCCTTGCCCTCAGGCCTCAGGTTATGGCTTGAAAGTTGAATGTGATTGGTAATTATTATGGTTGATATAGGTAATGACTAAATGACGTAATGTCAAACGGGGTAGCGGGTAGCCTAATAAGATAAGGGATGGGGGGAGGGGTAAAGTGGTACAGTCGTCCTACATTTTGGAGAAATGTTGTAGCAGGTAAACTAATCAAAATATTGCAAAACTAATAAAAATAGCTAGGCTAGTGGCATTATTGGCATAAAGTTCAACATTTTTACTTCTGAGTAGCCTAGCCTAGTAGCAGTAGCGGGTAGCCAGTAGGTAGGTTATAGGTAGGAGGTGTTGCCTAGGCTAAAGCAAGTTAAGAAATTGTATATTTACTACCTCTTAAAAAGTAAAAAATCCCTGAAAAAGTGTGAAAAGTGAGATTTTGGAAAATTGCCTCTGCTAAGGTCTGTAGCCAATAAAATAGCCATTAGCCAAAAACATTTGCTGTATCAAAAAATTGTACATGCCTAAAAGTTCACACAGGTGTTGGCTTGAAAGCATGGTTGACAACTTGACATTTGACAGAATTTGCATATCTCATTCCAAAAACAGGTGGCCATTTCTGCAAGATGGGGTAATAAGGGACACTCCTAAAAACACATTACTGTCAAACCCTGATTATCAAAGGCTCCATTTAATGAAAAAATCAATTAGGCTAACAGCAAACAATTTTGATTATATTCACCACACCTGGCAAAGAAATTTCACTTAACAAAAAATTGATGCATCACTGGTCATAACAAAATTGTGCAGAGAATGTAATAGAACATAGATAGAATTGTGCACAAAGCAACATAAAATGAAATGTTAATAACCTAAACTATGATTTACCTACTTCTCCAAAAAAATTCAATGGTTGTCCCTAAAATATTCCTTTCTGTTTCAGGTAGATTTTTTACAATATTTTTTTTTTTTTTGTTGTAATGAATTCACTTGACCAATTAAAATGGTGTGAAATTACAAATTGTCCTGTAAGCTTACAGATACAGAAAAATGCTATACGGCTGCTGATGGGAAGCTTGCAGTGGACAAGGTTGTTGTAAATGCCCAATGGCATGTTCATGGATATGGTAATATCACATCAATAATACAGGAATGTATGGATATTGTAATATATCTTTGTTTTGCCATGCAGCATTTTTTTCAGCTGATCAATGGCTAATTTTCTTATTCAATTGTTGATCTAAAATCATTGCCCCAGTTCAGTATTCCCAGCTGTCAGATGGCTGGTAGATACGCTTCTCTTAAACGGGGATAAAACAATACAAAACACACAACAAGGCCTACAGCACTAAAATTACATTTCTTCACAGTGAGAGATAAAATATAAGTTAATAGAAGCAATGCTTCTATTTACTTGAAAATGAATGTTGATACATTCGAAATGTTGTTAAATATATTATAAATCCTTGCTGAGACCTGCCTTTTGATCTGTTAATGTCATCTGAAGAATTTTTACTCCCTGCAAATTGGAATAAAATGCATTCTCTGATCATTCATCCTATGCGTTCAACTATAAAATCCTACCATCTAATGCTATATATCACTGCCATATACTGGTATCTGTTTTTGAGATGGAAAGATTTTGCTTGCTATATTGTTTGTCTTGTTATATAGGTATATGGTAGTATCTCTACCCTCTTACTTCCTACCTAGACTAGTATTTTATTGTTTCTAGAAGTTCAAATTGTATTTTGCTTATTATTTTCAGATGGGAAGAGAGTCGCCATTGGTGACGTCAGCAGAGTAATAAAAGAAGCAGCCAACCCAGAACTTGTACCTAGAGGATACTGTGAGCCTTGCAATTTAATTCATATTCTTTATTGTTTTATATTAATATCCTGCCATTTCTTGCATCATAAACTTTTGCACTGATTCTAAAGTGAACGATTACATATAATTTATTTAGCCAAGTTTGCAAGTTATACATCGATTTTATGTTACTGTGATTTCTTCTGCCTTATTCTGGTATTCACCAACTATCCTGGATTAATTGGATTTTTATTAATAACATGTCAATGCAAACATTATGTGATAAAGTGATTAGAATATTTCAGAAAATTACTTGTTGAATATAAAAATTATATTCATGTTTGGATGATGAGGAAAGCAGGCTGTTGATAATGATTACATTTGTATTGGGGTTCTAGAAATAAGATTTTAAAAACACGTTTTAGATGAAGACTAACTTGATTTACACCAAATGAATTACGGTATCTTCTAATGTCTTTAATTCAAAGCTGTAACTGTAATCGGTAGGTATTTCTTGATGTCTGTTGCAAGTTATATAAAGAATTTTCAATAATTATTTTTCTAATAAAACCTTTATTTATTTAAACCCAAGCATGTACACTGTAGTATTTTTTAAAACAGTTATTGATTTGAATTTTATTTTCAGTGAGTGGCAATCTCACCCAATATGAGCTACGTCATCTGCGATGGCTAATGCAGAAGGATGCAATGGGGCAAGATGTCTTCCTGATAGGAGGGCCTGGCCCATTGAGGTGATAAATTATGAATTAATTGTTTCTATTTGATAATTTTAGCGCATTTTCTCATTTATGGAAAAAATGCACTATAGTGCTCCCCATGTCCATCTGTCTGTCTGTCCGTCTGTCTGTCTTCTGTCCGTCTGTCAGTCTTCTGTCCGTCTGTCCGTCCGTGACTTCAAGTTTTTTTCAACAAGAAAATGCGCTCTCTGTCACTCACTGCAGTGAGTACTGAGTTACATTTTTTCCAGGCTGTACAATTAAAGATTTATATTTGTAAATTATTTCATTCTTGTACTGGAGAAATGGAAGTCGAGACTAGGTATCACTGATAATCTATATACCTATAGGTAGGTAGTATGTACAACTAGAGCAAAATGCTTAGCTCCAAAACATTGATAACAAATTGACTAGGTATTAGATATCCACAAGATGAAAACTAATTTTTTATGATTTCATATGATCTTCTTATGCCTTCTCATATACGGGATATATTGTTCTTTTTTATGAAAATTATGTGGAAATTGTGGGATATCTATCATTGTAACATATAACATTCATAACATTCTGTACAAGAATAGGTTATTGTTCAAAAGACTAGATAAAAATTTCATGCCGCAGCAAGTAAAAAATTGATTTCATGCTTTTTGTATGGTTTTACTGTCAATTAGGTGTTTATGTAAATTTTGCTTAATTTATTGCTACCTGCTCAAAGTTGGTGGCTTCAAAAAAATTCCTGCTATCAAAGTAATAAGCTTCTAGGTACTCATTTCTATTAACAAGTGTCTTCTTGTTAACTGCTCACTGTGAGTATGTGATTGATGGTCCAGCACAAATGTTTTCCCTGAATAATTTTTAAACCATAATTTACTTGAAAATTATATATGACATGCAAGTATTTTATATGAATCAGCAATGTGGCTCCTTGTCTGCTTTCAATTGAAGATAATTTCACCCAGTGTCTCTAATAACTACTATTCATATTTATGTTGATGTGACTGTGATGTATGAAATATTGATAATTTCCACAGACGGCACATTGCTCTGGCTTACCTCGAGCTGACACGGCGAGAGGCGGAATACGTGACACTCACGCGTGACACTACAGAGGCTGACTTGAAGCAGCGCCGGGAAATTCGGGATGGTACCAGTTACTACCACGACCAGGTAGTTATAGGTACCAGTTACTACCACGACCAGGTAGTTCTAGGCACCAGTTACTACCATGACCAGGTAGTTCTAGGCACCAGTTACTACCACGACCTGGTAGTTATTGGCACCAGTTACTACCATGACCAGGTAGTTATTGGCACCAGTTACTACCATGACCATGTAGTTCTAGGCACCAGTTACTACCATGACCAGGTAGTTATAGGCACCAGTTACTACCATGACCAGATAGTTATAGGCACCAGTTACTACCACGACCAGGTAGTTCTAGGCACCAGTTACTACCATGATCAGGTAGTTATAGGCACCAGTTACTACCACGATCAGTTTGCTGTGATTCCTACAATGCTGGGATTACGATGACCTGGTCAGTAAATGTATGCACAATGCAAACGAAGTGAAGAGTCATCATAATAAGCCTCGCAATCACCTATAGGTTATTAAGATTGTAAGCTCCACAATCACCTTGGATAATTAAGATTGTACTAATTCGTAACCAGGATAACAGCGATTTAGGTACAGACGCACTCACTAGAACGAGTTTGTGATTTTTCTTCTGCATTTAAAAGTTGAAGTGCTTGCATTATGCAGGGTATTGTTCTTCATTTTTATTGTAGTTATTACCTATATCGTGTTGTTATTAGTCTTGGTTGTGATAATCTAGGGATTCAAGCGCTTTAATTGTATAGGGTGTTTTATTTACAATGATTGTTGTTACTATATTGCGTTTTTGTTAATCTTCGTTGTGATTATCTTGTGATTGAGGTGCTTTAATTATGTATGTTGTTGTTTTTAGCGCATTTTCTCATTCATTGAAAAAATGCCCTATTGTGCTCGTCACGTCCGTCCGTCCTTCCGTCTGTCTGTCTGTCTTCACGTTTTTGTCGTTTTTGAGAAAATACGCTCTCTGTCACTCACTGTAGTGAGTGACAGAACTGTTGGAAATTGAGTTATATTTTATGTATAACTGAGAATTACTGGGAAGTACTGAGTAATACATTTTTATGTATTACTGAGAATTGCTGGAAAGAACTGAATTATATTTTTATGTATTTGTTGTCATTAAGTAGGGAATTAATTTCGCAATGCAATATGTGTGTAGGCTGCAGTTCGGGCGGCGACACAAGGCAGGGTGCTCGTGCTGGACGGCATAGAGAAGGCAGAGAGGAACGTCCTGCCCGTCCTGAACAACCTGCTGGAGAACAGGGAGATGAACCTTGATGACGGCCGGCGTCTCATACCCCACAGCAGATATGACGCTCTCGTCAAGGTGATTACTTATATCTTGTGTCACTAGTATCACATGTCACTAGGTATCCACATCCTGCCATCCTAGTATCCATTGAAATTAATTACGGTATCTTAAACTAGAAATTAATGAATTGCCATTAATTTCTAGAGTTTTTAATTAGATATTTTTATTGTCTCTGTAACGTTATTATTTTATTTAAAAAAACTGTATATTGATTGAATTCATTAAATATTGCCTACAATCTTATTACATGACTTATTACGTGGCGCATTTCATTCTATATATCATATAGTACAATTAGGTATACGGCGTGTTTGTGGGTGGCCTGAACGTGCTGCCGGTGACTTATTTCATGACTTATCTCTTCTATAAATCATATTATCACTGACAAAATATATATTTAATTATCAGTAGCATGGCGAGGTGGGCGGCCTGAAAGTGCTGACGGTGTATTTCATAACTTATTTATTCTATAAATCATATCAATGACGAAAAATATATATCTTATTATCAAATAATCCAATCAAATCTAATCATTAGCAAGGCGAGGCGGGCGGCCTGAACGTGCTGCGAGTGATTTATTTCATGACTCCTCCATTCCATAAATCATTTCACTGACAAAATATATATATCTTATTATCATATAATCCAATTAGGACCATGGCGAGGTGGGCGGCCTGAATGTGCTGCGAGTGACTTATTTCATGATATATTCATTCTATAAATCATATTATCATTGACAAAATATATATTTTAGTATCAGGAGCATGGCAAGGCTGGCGGCCTGAACGTGCTGACGGTGTATTTCATAACATATTTATTCTATAAATCATATCAATGACGAAAAATATGTATCTTATTATCATATAATTCAATCAAATGTAATCAGGATCACGGCGAGGCGGGCGGCCTGAACGTGCTGCGAGTGTCGCCAGATTTTCGGGTGTTTGCTCTGGGCCTCCCCTGCCCCCCTCACCAGGGACAGCCCCTGGACCCGCCCCTCAGGTCCAGGTTCCAGGCCAGGGAAATATCCCATGCGCCTTTCCAGGTTAGTTTTTTATTTAAAAGTTCCAGGCCAGGGAAATATCCCATGCGCCTTTCCAGGTTAGTTTTTTATTTAAACTCTTCTCTCTATTACGACCCTATTTTCTTGATTAACTTTTGTACCTGAAATTTGTAAATTTATTGGTGAAATATGTGGGTTTATTCTTTCATGAAATTAACTGTCATTTATGCTCAAATATTATTCCATTTCAATTAATTGCTTATGTTTTTCATCTTATTAAAACATTATTTCGTATTCTTGTTAAGGATATTTAATTGTGTTGTTGTTCTCTTTAAATTCCTATTTACATTGTGTTGGTCTCCTAAATTAAAAAAAGTCCTTAATTTCCAAAAAGTTCTTGATTTGTTATCATTTTAAATGCCTCCTTAGGTGAGAAGACTGATTACAAAATGGCTCGGTTGTTGTCACGTTCTATGACCCTGTACTTGTCCCATATATGACGCGATGTTTTCCATGGCTTTATTCAAGATTTATATCAACGTTCTCAAGGACATAAAGTTTTCCTTATTATCTCAACAGAACGAACTACATAAGCTACAAGCGCTGTACCCGTGCGTATTTACAATTGTCTAGCTTTTCGCCAAAAATTCTCCATTCCTTTATTCTACTCTAACATTCATAAGTGGCTAGAACATTCCTTATTATCACAACAGGACGAGCTTCAAAGCTACAAGCGCTGTACTCGCGCGTATCTACATTTGCCTAACTTTACGCCCAATATTCTCCATTCCTTGATTCTTCTTTAAAATTCATAAGTGCCTAGAACATTTCTTATCATCACAGGACGAGCTACAAAAGCTACAAGCACTGTACCCTCGCGTGTCTACAATTACCTAACTTTTCGCCCAAGATTCTCCATTCCTTGTTTCTACTTTATTATTTCTCTCTACATTTATAATGGCCTAAGAACATCACTTCTTATCACAACAGGACGAGCTACAGAAGCTACAAGCGCTGTACCCGCACGTGTCGCGTGACGTCATCACGCGCTGCCTCTCTGTGGGTCACGCGCTGCTGGCGGAGGAGAGCAAAGCCCTGGCGCTGCCCGACTACCCCCTGCACCTGCTGCATACCGTCCTGGCCGTGCTGGTTAGTTAGTCTGAACTACAGTGGTTGTCAGCCTAAAATTTTCGTCTTGATTCTTTTTCTGTCAGCCTAAATTTTTTTTTTTTGTCTTAATTTTAACTACAGTGGTTGTAAGCTGAACTCCTGTGGCTGTTAGTCTATAATCCAGTGGTTGTAAATCTAGAATATATTCTAAAGTACAGTGGTTGCTGATCTAAAATGCAGTAGTTATAAATTTTAAATACAGTGGTTGTTAATTTAAAAAACAGTGATTGTAAATCTAAAATACAGTGGTAAATAATCTAAACCACAGTGGTTATTAATTTAAAATACAGTGGTTGTTAATCTAATATACAGTGGTTGTAGATCTAAAATACAGTGGTTATTAATCTATATCACACTGGTTGTTAATCTAAAATACAGTGGTTTTAAATTTAAACCACAGTGGTTATTAATTTAAAATACAGTGGTTATTAATCTATACCGCAGTGGTTATTAATTTAAAATACCTACAGTGGTTGTTAATCTAAATCCAGTCGATTTTCATCTCAACTTCATTGGATGCATAAGGTAGTTAGTGCCTCTCCAGTTAAATCCCACTCCTCACTCACCAAATTGAAAGTGCATGTGAATTGTCATTCTTTCAACCCTGATGCTGTTCTTGCCTGAAACACTTTAGTCGTTTTTATAACAATTTGTTTTATTATTGAACACATTAGGGCATCAAGGGATTTTTATCACAATTTTTATATTATTCTACATAACAAGCAATTTTTATCATAATTTGGTTATTATTGAATGGAACATGGGATTTTTAGCGCAATTTTTGTAATTTTCAGCATGACATGCGATTTTATCATAAGCTGGTACTTATTTAACAGAATAAGGGATTTTTACCATAATTTTTGTATGATTCAACAGAACAAGGGATTATTACCATAATTTCTGTATGATTCAACAGAACCAGGGATTTTTACCATAATTTTTGTATAATTCAACAAAACGAGGAATTTTCTTCATAATTTTTGTATAATTCAACAGAACGAGGCATTTTTATAATAATTTTTGTATGATTCAACAGAACGAGGCATTTTTATAATAATTTTTGTATGATTCAACAGAACAAGTTTCCCAGCGTTGCCCCCGAGTCAGTGCTTAGACTCGCGTACCCCCACAGCGTGTGTCTCCCCAGCGAGTCTCANTCAACAGAACAAGTTTCCCAGCGTTGCCCCCGAGTCAGTGCTTAGACTCGCGTACCCCCACAGCGTTTGTCTCCCCAGCGAGTCTCAGGCCCCTCTCACTGACCTCCTCAACACCTTCGACCTCAACCTTCCCCAGCAGGTTATTAGAAGATAATAAATTTATATACGTGATCTACTTTATAACTTGCATTTATTCATTCATTTAATAGACCGTTAATTAATATTTATCAGTGTTTGTTACTTGTCCGACCTGAGAAATATTCATCTTCGACCTCAACCTTCCGCAGCAGGTTACTAGAAGATAATAGTTTCATACATGATCTACATAATAATATGCATTTATTCATTTATTTGATAATCTGTTGTTTAATATTCATCAACACTTGTTGCTTGTCCAAACTGAAGAAAAAGTCATTTATTGCGTTGCCGAAAATGTTAACTTCAACCTACCTCAGCAGATAATTAGAAGATAATCATTTTGTATATGATCTGCATAATAACTTGCATTTATTCATTCATTTAATAGACCGTTGATTAATATTTATCAGTCTTTGTTACTTGTCCAAACTGAGAAATATTCATTTATTGAGCTGCCGGAAATTTTGATCTCAACCTACCTCATTAGTTGAAGCTTGCTTCTTTTACATTATAATTTGAATTATTTCTCTATTTATTATTCTTTTGCGCGACCTATTCTTTATTATTTCGTTACTCATGAATATTTGTTACTTGTCCAAAAAGAAGAAGGAAAATTCATTCACCAGCTGGAAAAGTTGCCTTTATTCTTATTCATTAATTATTTGCAATGCACTGGATAATTCATACTTTCGTGCACCGAGTTTGGAGAATAATATGGGGTTAAGTGTAACTTGAAAGATGAATCGTGAAGTTTTATTTAATGCAAATTAATTTGGTTCAATTTTTTAATAGCCTAATTTCTTTTCTGAATTAGTCGAGTCAGGAGATACGAACTGCCAGCTATCCATTAAAATATTTCCCTGTGCAAATAAGCATTTGGACTGGGAACCTACTCTTCTTTTCTTTGCGCCATATTTCAATAATTCCCCTTTTGAAGGTACTAGTATTCTATTGATGGCACCATGTTTAATTCTCCTATATTTGATAATGGCGAAATGTACACAATCAAAGGCTCACAGACAATCAGAAGCAGAAAATGATAATTAAGGTATTTTATTATTGCAGGACGCAGCCATCCTGACGTTGGACGCCGTTCAGAGCGTGGCAGTTGATGCGGCTGGCGGCTCTGTACAGCTCAACATGACGGTCAACGGAGAGCCTGCTACGGCTCAGGTTGGGGCATGACTGTTAACGGAGAGATGATTAGATTCCATTTTGCATAATTAACAATTTTTAACAAGTGCAATTATCTTCTATAAGTGACCTGGGGCCATACTTTCAAAACTCGCTAAGTGAACGTAAGTACTTACACTCTATTTTCTTATCTATGATTGGTGGATTTTGCTTGAAAGACCGTCAATGATTGGCTGATGAACTTACGATCACTTAACTTTTTTTTTGAAAGTATAGGCCCTGGTACAAGATCCAATATAAAATAAAAATTTTCATGTCATTTTTTGTCTCAAATCTGGAGGTTTCTTGCTCGTCTTTAAATGCTCTTACATTTCAGGGTGGTTGGTGGTACATTACCTCTTAACCTCCCGTGTGATGGTGATGGTTCACCATCAGCAATTATCAGCACACCATACCACAGCAGCGTGCTGTGGTATGCTGTGCTGACATTTCTTAGCTTCAAACATAGAGGTTTCTTGCTCGTATTTAAATGCCCTAACATTCCAGGTATTTGGTGGTACTTTACCTCATACCATACCATGTGGTGGTGATGGTGCACCATCAGCAATGATCAGCACAGCATACCACAGCAGCGTGCTGTGGTATGGTGTGCTGGCATTTCTTAGCTTCAAACATAGAGTTTTTCTGCTCGTATTTATATGCTTTAACATTTCAGGTAGTTGGTGGTACTTTACCTCTTGCCATCCCGTGTGATGGTGATGGTTCAATTTAAATTGCATTACTTTGCCTCAAACATAGAGGTTTCTTGCTCGTATTAAAATGCCCTAACATTTCAGGTGGTTGGTGGTACATTACCTCATACCATCCCGTGTGATGGTTCACCATCAGCAATGATCAGCACAGCATACCACAGCAGCGTGCTGTCATCACTGCTGCAGCTGCATGCTGTAGGCAGCGACGTCTGCATTGTCGGGCCCAGAGGCTGTGGCAAGAGCACCGTAGCCATGCAGATGGCCAGGACTCTGGGCTACAGAGTCGAAACTGTTCTGTTATACCAGGTATAATTTGTAGTGACTAATTTGTATATTTGTATTTGTATTGACTATGACTCTTCCGATTAGAATATACCAGGTATACTTTGTATAAATTTTTGCTTAGAATATACCAGGTAGGAATTTCTGACAAACCTTCGCTTAGAATATACCAGGTATAATTTCTATACACTTCGGCTTGGAATATATCAGGTATATCTGATAAACTTCGGCTTGACCTATACCTAAATGGTACGGTATACATACTTCACCTATGCATAAATGAAATGGCGGTGGCTACAGAGTCGAGACTGTTCTATTATACCAGGTAAATTGACTAATTTGTGTATTTGTATTGACTATGACCATTCCGATTAGAATATACCAGAAATTTCTGATAAACTTTGGGTTAGAATATACCAGGAATTTCTGATAAACTTTGGGTTAGAATATACCAGGTATATCTTATTAACTTCGGCTTAGAATATACCAGGAATTTCTGATAAACTTCTGCTTACAATATACCAGGTATATCTTATTAACTTCGGCTTAGAATATACCAGGAATTTCTGATAAACTTCGGCTTAGAATATACCAGATATTTCTGATAAACTTCAGTTTCACCTATACCAGGGGACTTTGTATAAACTTTGGCTTAGACTATACCAGGTATACATTGTGTAAACTTTGGCTTAGACCATACCAGGTATTTCTGATAAACTTTGAGTTATAATATACCAGTTATTTCTGATCAACTTCGAGTTAGAATATACCACGTATTTCTGATAAACTTCGGCTTAAACTATACCAGGTATAATTTGTATAAACTTCCGCTTAGACTATAACAGGTATACTTTGTATAAAATTTGGCTTAGACTATACCAAATATATCTGACGAACTTTCGGCTTAGAATATACCAGGTATTTCTGTTAAACTTTGGTATACCAGGTATAATTTGTACAAACTTTGGCATTGACTATACCAGGTATATCTGATAAACTTCCGCTTAAACTATACCAGGTATACTTCTTCTTAGGGTCTACCAGGTATACTTTGTATAAACTTTGGCTTAGAATATACCAGGCATACTTCTCGTAAACCTTGGCTTTAATTATACCAGGTTATATTAGTATATATACTATGTAATAAAAATGCTTGCATTAGAGTGATTAGACCCTGCATTCAGGTTACAATATATTGTCTATTAGTGCAGCACTGAATTTCTTTAGTTTTATTTCATCAAAATTTGATAAAAATTCCTTTACAATAAAGACACACAGCCTTGCCTGTGGACATTGTTTTGGTTGAGATTTTTTGCAGTATACGAGTTTCGTATATGTTAGATAAAAATTGACCTCTATCTAAATAAATTATCTATCTCTAAAAACAAGCTATACGGTAGTATTGCAGAAGCATGCTGATCACGGCAGGACTTAATTTTTTTATTAAAACTGGTAACAATTTTAATATCTGCTTATTATCATTGATATTGAATTTTTAATTAAGTATAACATAAAAATTATAGGACATGACGTCGCGCGACCTGAGCCCTGGTGACAATTTTAATATCTGCTTATAATCATTATATTAAATTTTCTATGCTAATTAATTATTACTGAATTAATATACGCTTATTATCGTTATATTGAATTTTTTCATTAATAGTGACGTAAAAATATCAGGACATGACATCCCGCGACCTGAGCCAGCAGCGGGCGACTGACGTTTTTATCGGCAGTTCTGTATAGAAAGAGCAGCTTTGTATAGCCTGTATTTTCCTAGTTGATAATACTTATTTTATACCGGACTCTGTTATGACTGCACCCAGTTGTGGGGTCAAGTTGTTGTGTAGGCAGGGCAGTTGTGGGGTCAAGTTGTTGTGTAGGCAGGGCAGTTGTGGGGTCAAATTGTTGTGCAGGTAGGGCAGTTCAAGACCGCGAGTTATTATTTCGCTTGTGATTTAAAGTTGTTTAAGTATTATTTTATTAATAATAATACAGTAAAATACAGTAATACCAATTATTTCCTACAGACTCATTCAAGACCGCGAGTTATAAATGCGCATGCCATTTATTATATTAAGTATTATTTTATTCCTTACAGTAAAACTATTTATTTCCGACAGACTCATTCAAGACGCGACTTATTCTTATGGTTGTCATTTAAAGTTGTTGCAGTATTATTTTGTATTTACAGTACCTATATTTATGACAGAGTTTTTTTTGACCGTGAGTTATTGTTACGCATATCATTTATAGTTGTTGAAGTATTATTTTATGCTAACAGCAATACCAATTATCACTGAAATACTCATTCAAGACAGCGAGTTATTATTATGCATGTCATATACAATATAGTTATTGAAGTAAATACTATTTTATTCCTACAGAGTAATACGACTCATTCGCGACCGCGAGTTCACGACCGCGAGTTATTACTCATGTCATTTATAGTTATTGAAGTATTATTTCATTCCTACAGTAATACTATTTACTTCCGACAGACACATTCAAGACCGCGAGTTATTACTCATGTCATTTATAGTTATTGAAGTATTATTTCATTCCTACAGTAATACTATTTACTTCCGACAGACACATTCAAGACCGCGATTTACTATTACGCATGTCATTTACAATATAGATATTGAAGTAAGTACTATTGTATTCCTACATTAATACCGATTATTTACAACAGACTCATTCAAGACCGCGAGTTACTATTACGCATGTCATTTACAATATAGTTATTGAAGTAAGTACTATAGTATTCCTCCAGTAATACTATTTATTTCCGACAGACTCATTCAAGACCGCGAGTTACAGCTGTATGACGGCACACGTCTCCTCCGACACGACAAGTTCGATGCCCTCGCCACCGAACTTTCCCTCAGTCCTGACCAGATGGAGGCGCGAGGGCTGCTGCGCATACATCCCGCCTTCAGGATTGTTGCCCTCGCCGACCCTCCTCAGCTGGCTGATGTTCAGGGACAGTGGATGAAACCTGAGACTTTGGCGCTCATGCCTTGGCTGGAAATGCGGCAGCCTACGCAAAAGGAAATGATGGAACTCGTCGTAGAGTTGGTGTGTGAAAATTAAGTTATGTTTGTGAAATTGAGAGAAATAATCTATAATAATAAATAATATTTGTGAAATTGAGAGCAATAATGCGATGATGGAACTCGTCCTAGAGTTGGTGTGTGAAAATTAACTTATGTTTGTGAAATTGAGAGAAATAATCTATAATAATAAATAATATTTGTGAAATTGAGAGCAATAATGCGATGATGGAACTCGTCCTAGAGTTGGTGTGTGAAAATTAAGTTATGTTTGTCAAATTGAGAGCAATAATCCGATGAGACTATGAAGCTTATAAAGCATAAGAGTTCTTTGCTTTAAAAAATATATCGCAATTGACCCAATTGCGGGCATTTTCCTAAACTCGGCCTTCAACACGGCATTTATTGTCATTATTGACGATTGTTCAAAATAATCTTTATTGGCATTCCAAAACCAATAACATTCTGTATGGGAAGATGACGATTAGTGTACTTAATAGTAGGTACTATGCTCTGTAAGAGTAATGTACTTAAAACTACTGTTCTCTGGTGAAGAGTAATGTACTTTAAAAGTACTAGTATACTCGGGAAGAGTTTAACTCGTTATGTACGCGTGTGCTCAGTCGCTGAATCACATCAATAAGGCAAGATTACGTTTGTCGGTATTCCATAGCAGTAAATCTTCTTAGTGCGAGAATATTATTTCTGGGGAAATTATTTGACATTCCCACTAATTAGAGACTATGTTATTGCATGACAACCTGAAGTTAATGTGACCTATATAAGTTTTATACAACCAAGGGCGGGATAAAAGCCGTAAAACACTAACGTTTATTTATTCACTCCAATGATAATACGTTATCCGTATGTGTGATGACATAATTTACTCCTATTTTGCAAGCAACTAACATGTTGGTTCCACTTCCGCTAAGTTAGAATCCAAGTATACTTTTTGTACGATCAATTGCTGCCTCGTTTAGTATTATATTCTTGCCTAAAAGCTTGTCTGTTCGTCAGGTAAATCCTCGTGAAATATTACTGATCTATTAAAGTTTGAGTCTTAATATACTTATTTTACTGTCAATTGTTGCCTCGTTAGTGTTATTCTTACCTGAAATCTTGTCCGATTGCTAGATGAAGCCTCGAAATTTGTTACTGATCTATTCAAGTTTGAGTCTTGATATACTTATTTTACGATCAATTGTTGCCTCATTTAGTGCTATTCTTACCTAAAAGCTCGTCTGTTCGTCAGGTAAAGCCTCGAGATTCGTTACCGATCAATTAAAGTTTGAGTTCAAGTATACATATTTTACGGTCAATTGTTGCCTCGTTTAGTGTTATTCTTACCTAAAAGCTCGTCTTATCATCAGGTAAAGCCTCGGGACAGCGCGACCCTGCAGCAGGTGGAGCTGCTCACCGCCGTCAGCTGCGCCGTCAGTGACAGTGTTGGCAGCCTCTCGTCCTTGGCACATTCTCTCTCGCTCCGACAGGTAATGAAATTAAAAAATTAAAATCGTTTAAAATTTAATTTGAAAATCGTCATCATTTGAAAAAAAACATCAAAAATTTAATTAAAAAATCGTCACTAAATAATAAAAATTCAAAATTTAATTGAAAAATCATCATCATTTAAAAAAACGTTCAAATTTTAAGTAAAAAATCGTCATCATTAAAAAAACATTCAAAATTTGATTTAAAAAATCGTCATTAAAAAATCAAATTTTTATTCTAAGCCATCGTGGCTGAAATATTTCTATAAATATCGCACGTAATGGAAAATTGTGTAATAATTGGTTAATCAGCAGGGTGGCTTAATAGTTATAGTTCAGAGTGGTAAAATTGGAACAGTGAGTTGTGGTTTAATAAAAGCTACCTGCAACTGTTCTTGTCAAATCGGAGTTGTCCGGGCGTTTAAGCTGCATAAAATTGGATCATATTGAATTTATAATTGGTTTATAACATCTCTATATCATATTATTATTACATTTACATCGCTATATTATGTTATTATTACATCGCTATATTATATAGTTATTGCATCGCTATATTATATTATTATTACATCGCTATATTATATTATTATTACATCGCTATACATTATCTTTATTGCATCGCTATGTTATATTATTATTACACCGCTTTATTATATCATAATACAACATCCCTATATTATTATAGTATATAATTATAAATGCAATGTGCAGGTCGTGCGCATCGCTCGCCGTCTCACAGCCTACCCCGGCCACCGCAGCCTGCACGAGCTGGTGCAGGACGCCTGCTTGGCCCGGTACCTGGACATATCATCTAACCTGCACCTAACTAAAATTGATAAAAAATGTTGTCAAATTTTATCAAAATTCGTCCGTTAATTTTTGTCCTATTTACCTGATAGTAGTATATCAGATTGAACAGACATCATTATTAAACAACCAAACTGTTTCAGTTCTTTTTGATTTCACTACTATAAATGCTGATATTTTTAACCGATTTTTGAGTGGGCCGACATCAATGGTTATTGAAAGTAATTAATTCACCTGGAGGCAGGTTTCTTCTCGTGATTTAGGTCCTTATGTAACATAGAATATGATAATATTCATTAGGTGCATTAACATTTAAAATATTTTAAGGAGAATCAAGTCCGCAATAACAAAATCTGCCGAATAATATAAGTAATGAAAATTATTTTTACAAATTAAAACACAATGCAGAGAACTTTTTTGCAATACTAATTCTATGAAAATATAGAAAGGCAAAAACATGATCATCAAACGATAACAATTTTCTGAAATTATTATTATTAGTTGAACTAAATTTCTTGCTCTGTTAATCCTCTTATCTTATTTAAAAAATTTATTTATTTTGATATTCCACATTCCTGCCCATGTTGGTAAAGCAAGCCTTGGAGAGACGCCAATGTTATTATTTTATTAGTTAAACTAGATTATTTTAAATTAATTATTATTCACATTAAGCTTTGGAAGAGACCCTAATAAAACCCTATTATCTAATTTTTCAAATTGCATTATTTTAATTACATTACTTTAAATATATAAATTAAATTATTTTAATTATTTGAATAATTTATTTAGTTTTGATATTGCAGATTCCTGCCCATGTTGGTAAAGAAAGCTTTGGACGAGACACTGGTTTTATAATTTAAATTAAATTATTTTAATTATTTGAATAATTTATTTATTTTGATATTACAGATTCCTGCCTATGTAGGTAGAGCCTTAGACGAGACACTAGTTTTATTATTTAAATTAAATTATTTTAATTACGTATTTGATTAATTTATTTATTTTGATATTACAGATTCCTACCTATGTTGGTAAAGCAAGCCTTGGACGAGACTCTAGACTCATTAGGTGTCCAGGCGACCAAGAACCCGGCAACCGCAGAGGCCGAGCTGAGCTGCACGGTACAGGGCAACCATGTCACCATCGGCAACACCACAGCCCTGCGCTACCAGCCTTCTAGTACCACTAAGATACCCAAGACGCTCTTCTTTGACATCCAACAGGTGGGAATTGATGCCTTTCTTTTGACCTCAAAATTTCAAAGTGACCATGACGTTCTTCTTTGACATCCAACAAAAAAGAATTATGTACTGACCTTTTCTAATTACATATTTTTCGTGCAGAGGTCAATATGTTTTTCTTTGAACGCTCATAGGTGTGAGTGTAAGTACCAACCAAAAGTGAATTTTAATTAGAGCAAACTCCGTTTTAGGCTGTTTGCTTTTAACATTTAAAAGGTTCTAGCTCTAATGAATTTGTCTTTCCAAAATTGGAAAGACAAACTCATTACTTCTCAATTTTACCGAAGTAAAATTGAGATTTTTTATCAGGCTCTAATCTAACGTGTGTTTTGCAGCACGTTGAGGTCCGAGAGAACCTGCTTAAAAGTACTGTGTTTTGCAGCACGTCCAGGTCCTGGAGAACCTGCTGATAAGTACTGTGTTTTGCAGCACGTCGAGGTCCTAGAGAACCTGCTGATAAGTACTCTGTTTTGCAGCACGTCCAGGTCCTAGAGAACCTGCTAATAAGTAGTGTGTTTTGCAGCACGTCGAGGTCCTGGAGAACCTGCTGATAAGTACTGTGTTTTGCAGCACGTCGAGGTCCTGGAGAACCTGCTGATAAGTACTGTGTTTTGCAGCACGTCGAGGTCCTAGAGAACCTGCTGATAAGTACTGTGTTTTGCAGCACGTCGAGGTCCTAGAGAACCTGCTACAAGACTGGCAGCTCGGCGAGCATCTGCTGCTCATCGGCAACCAAGGCGTGGGCAAGAACAAACTCGCCGACCGCTTCCTCGAGCTCATCAACCGACCCCGCGAGTACCTGCAACTGCACAGAGACTCCACCGTGCAGGTCAGTTAGCTAAATCTGCAAGTCAGTAACCTAGGTCCAAAAAAAGTAACTTAACTTATGCCTGCTGTCATATCAACCGTCGTCATAGCATTCATATTTAAGGTTGGTGTGGAGACCCACGAGGCTACGAGCAGGCTCGGCTCTTCGCTATGAATTTCTTCACAAACTAGGCTGGATTTTACTCCACTCGTAAATGAGAAAGCGATACGCTTTATCCATGCTTGCCCAGTTATTCATTTACAAACGGTGGATAGTATCAAAAAATATGTAAACTTTGTATTAAAAGAGTTGTGATGCCGGAAATTTCAAGAAACTTTGAATATCAATGTTCATCAAGTCTGCGACTTATACAATTTTTTAGACAGGTTATAATTCTCATTCTCCACTGAATGGTATACTCATCATTTCTTGATCATCCTATTTGTATCTACCAAAAGCTAGTTATGACCGACTGTAATGCTTCTAAAGCAGTGGTTCCCAAAGTGGGCGATATCGCCCCCCTAGGGGCGGTGGAAAGATTTTGTGGGGGCGGTAAGGAAGAAGAGGGTGGTAGGGGGGCGATAAGGGGGGCGGTAGTCCGAAGTCAATGTCAGAAGTTCGAACGTTTGATTGATGTTTAGTACACAACACGTGCCGCACATGACTCCCAGCGATGGTTTTTTCACCCAGATCTGTTTTTTGACCTCTCCTGGGTCTTGGACAAATTAACGGCCGGACTCGCGGCCGGTCTCACGGCCAATTTCCAGATTCAATAATCAAGGAATATCTTTCAAACTAATGGAATTATCTCGATGAAACTTGGTACACGTTTTCATTAGGACCTAACGATAATGTTTTGCTCGTGAAAATTGTTTGAATGCTGTCATAGTTTGTTTTTGCCGTTGTTATATGGGAATACGGGCCGAAATTCACAGTGATCAAGTAATTTCTTCCAAACCACTGAACAAATTCGGACGGAATTTTGAATTTAAAGTCCCAAGTACCGAACGGTAAGGTTTAACTCGTGAAAAATTTTCCGATCGTGCCTTCGTTCGCGAGTTTTTTTATTTATTTCACTTTCATGTGTAATTTAAACAGCAATACGTGATTAAATTCGCAGTAATCAAGAATTTTTTTCTAAATTTCTAAGCAGATTTGAACGAAACTTAGTATTTAAATACCTAACCTCAGCAACGATGATGTTTACAATTTTTTCGTTTTGCCTTCGTTTGCGAGATATACGGCTATACGTATAAGGCTCTTGGTTAAACCGGCCGGTAGAAAATCCGCTCGTTCCTCCTATATCTGTAGAACTCGCAAACGAAAGCAAAATAGAAAAATTGTCACGAGCTAAACATCACCGTTGAGAGGTTAGGTATTTATACACAAAGTTTCATTGAAATCTGTTCAGTAGTTTATAAGAAATTTCTTGATCACCGCGAATTGAAGTGACAAATTACCCGGCGATACGGGCAGAATATAAGGAAGTGTGATATCAAGAATGACGGTGAAATAAAAAAAAAACTCGCAAACGAAGGTAAAATCGAAAAAACTTTATAAGCTAAAAATCACCGTTTGGTAGTTAGGAATGTATATTCAAAATTTTGTTCAAATCTGTTCAATAGTTTGGAAGAAATTCTTTGATCACTGCTAGCTTTTGGTCTCTGGTTTATTAATTTTTTATTATAATATGAGCTTTGCATAACTTTTAATATATTCTACTGCATATTCATTTGTGCCACTTGAAATTTGTCGGAAAAACTCGTAAACCTTCAAATCCCTTTTTAAATACTCGTTATTTAGTACTATAAATATGTCCTAATAAGATTTCTGTTTTTTATTTTATAAATTATGTGTTGTACCATTTATTGAATTCAACTTACACTCTCCTCCTAGCATATATAATATTCTCCACGAGATTCTACATGATCAATGTAACCTTATTTTGGTTATAGAGAGACCTTTTTTCTGTTTTTGAGGTTGAAATAATATCGAGGTTTATCAATATCTTTAATAATTGATGAATAATTACGAGGTTTTGTTTATATTTAATTAATTTTACCTGACCACGTGACAGGACTCGCCGCTGGTGACGGCGGTGAAGGAAGGCTCCGTGCTGCTGCTGGACGAGGCTGACAAAGCGCCCACGCACGTCACGTGTGTGCTGAAGGTAACACGTCTCCATTAGGGCTAACTTACAGGTCTTACAAATATATCGATGACTGGTAAACATTTTTTGTCAATTTCTTACAAAAACGAACTGTAAATATAATTTCCCGTTACCTCCGACGAAACCATTACCAAAAATATTACATCCGACCTGTTATGAAAATACACGAAGAAATGAAATGGCTTGTAATGCTTGTTTCGAACATTTTTTGTCGATATAATGGTTGCCTTGCCCTATAGTGACTTATCCCATCATAACCAATCGTAAATGCCATCTAAGGAAATTAGATAAATATATCATAAAAATGTTTTTTTTTATATTTATGTATAATCTTTATAATATTATATATATGTATTTTATATGAAATAAATATAATATATCGTCATGTTTCAGACTCTGGTCGAGAGCGGAGAGATGTTATTGTCAGACGGTCGCCGTATCGTGCCTTCGTCGCACCCTCTGGCCAGCTCCGCTGACACGTCTGACATCATCGTCAGCCATCCTGACTTCAGGATGATCGTCCTCGCCAACAGGCCTGGCTTCCCCTTCCTCGGCAATGATTTCTTCGCTGTACTCGGTGAGCTGCGGTTCTCTTCTATTGTACATGGGGCATTTTGTACTCTCCGTGACATTTTTGAACTCGTATTAAAATTTTTGCCCGAATCGTAAAGTTATGTTATGTGAAGTGTAGAAAGGGTAGAATAACTTCCGTTATAATCTTGAAATCCAAAATTGTGAGCATATGATTTTAATACGACCTGTTACTGTTGTTTGTTAATAGTTGCATTGGCACTATAAGTCATTTGTGTCATACCTGGCACTTAGGGTTGTTAAACTTCAGTGATTTCCTATGTGGCGTTGAACTATACGTTTCCATATCGTAGAATGTCCCGGTAGTTTATGACAAAAATTTATTCCTCAAATGTAACAAATCATCATTCACAGTGAGATAAAAGTGAACTGAAGGTGTTTGATGCAAGTATAGGACTAGAGAATTTGTTCGGAACCTTGTTTACAGTCGGAGAGGTTGCTTGCATGAAACTGTTTGAGAAATCACTTCACTCTCATCATCTGTATTGTTAATAGTATGTACTGCGATAAATGGATGTTAGTACGTGTTAATTAAAATGTAGTTTTTTGAATTACAAGAATGGTTTTCATTTTTTCGCTCCGACTGCTTCGTTTTTTTTTTGCTGACCATTTTAAAAGTTACGATTCTCATTGATAAAAAAATAGTTTTTCTCGCTTACGGAAATTATAGTTTATTATATACCTATGAATTATTTATTGACTTTAACATTCTCATATAAAAGAAACACTTCAACCAAGCGAATCAATTTATTGTTTTCTCATTTACAATGCACTTTCACGACCAAATTGATTGGTTCCTTATTCACCAAAACTTCATTGCTTTCTCATTCACAATGCATTTTCAAGACCAAATCAGTTTCAGTTGCTCATTTGCCAACTATATTGTATGTATGCTGTGCCCCATTCGAAATAGTTTTTCAATACTGCTGGGCAGAAAATTTAGCACTGCTAATTCCAATATATTCGGCGGAACTATTTCCCTGTACAATATTTCTTAGAAATCCTCGCACATAACTTCTTGATTATGAATTTTGTTAATTATTGCAAGGACACGCTTGGGTTCTAAGTATGCTAAATACTAATTCCAATATATTCTGCTGAACTCTTTCCCTCTACAATATTTCTGAGGAATCCTCTTATATAACTTCCTAATTATACATTTTATTAATTATTTGCAAGGATACACCAAATTCTAAATGCAAATTATTTCCAGCACTACCCCAAAGACGGCGTGTCGTTGGCCATACGCAACGTGTTCGACTTCGACGCGTGGAGCGCAGACGCTCGAGACGTCGTCATGAAGACGTTAAACAAGCATGGCTTACCTGTACAATCCTCGGACGCTTCTACGCGGCTCGCTACCAAGTAAGAAATGTAAGAACAGGCACTGTAAGCTTGCCGAATACTTCTGAATTTATCATGTTGGATATGTGGTTACCCCATTAGTGTCTTGGAGGACAGTAATCCGACTGAGACAAAGTAATGACATCCGTTTCTAGCACTTTCGTTACTTCCATATCTAATCCCTCTCTCAAATGGACTGGAATCAGATGTACGTTTTTCCTTATAGGATCTGTCGTTGTCAATTTTATTTCGACGACGGTGTTGATAAGGCCTGACGCTTTGAAAAAACTCCTCCAAAACTACGCATAAGACTTTGTGCCTGATGAATTCGTTCTATCATGTTTTATGAGGTTACAATGTTGGTTTCTTCAATTAAAAAGTTGCGAAAAAAAGTCATATGGGTATGAAGCCTAACAGAAAAATTACGGTTTGATTTTGAACCCCAAAATTCAAGCATAGTAGTTGGCATTCGATGAAAAATATCTCATAATCGTTGATGCCCTCGGATTCCCTCACCAGACCCCTGACGACCCTCTCTCTTAATTCGCTTGTGCATTTGCTCCTATTGATTTTGTATAAATTTCTCTTTTCATTATCTAATTGAGTTTTGCGATGCTCTAAAATTTTTTATTCACGATATAATTAATTAAGTTGCCATTAATTAATGACAACTTATTAATTAATTACTTAACTTGTCATTAATTAATGACAACATTAATTAAGTTGTCATTAATGATCATGATTATTTTGTTTTAGTAGTATTTCTCACTTCGTAGGCTGGAATTTATCAATGCATTTTGGGCATCGTAATTCAGTTGAAATGCAAGATGTTACATATCTATTGTGTTTCTACATCACAGCGAGACATCAATGACTGCATGTCATCGTCGTGCTTTAGTCTTTAATTTGTCTTGTTCTACCGCAGATTATCTATAGGTGTCATCGTCGTGCTTTAGTCTTAATTATGTCTTGATCTACCGCAGATTATCTATATGTCATCGTCGTGCTTTAGTCTTAATTATGTCTTGATCTACCGCAGATTATCTATATGTGTCAACGTTGTGCTTGAGTCTTAATTACGTATGTCTTGATCTGCCGCAGATTATATGTGTCATCGTCGTGCTTTAGTCTTAATTATGTGTTGTTCTACCGCAGATTATCTATAGGAGACCCCCAGTATTTAGGCCGCTGGCACATTTCCCGTCACAACGCCAGACCTGTTGAGGTCTCGTCTGAACGCATCTCGTACCGCGTAAGTTATGATTCATTCAGATGATTTTATGCATTCTACTCTTTATTTGCAGAGTCTGCTTATGAATGCACAAAGTGTAAGTAAAGTTCAAGTTTTTGATGCTTGTTCGGAATTACTGTTAGACGACAATTGTCAACTGGTAGTATTGACCTTATTCTTTACAGCTGGATCTCGATTCGAGGTGTTGCATTATATCGAATCCATTGTTATCATATTGTCTCTTACTGGTATATTTTTTCAATTTATTCATTAACAATGTGGATTAACGAAATAATTATTCAGATTTTTTAATTACATTTAAGATTTTTTTTCAGGGCCCAATCTATGTTCCGGTGACCAAGCAAAACCTCGCCGCTCTGGAAGCTCGCGCCAGCATTTTTACTGAGCTACACAGCTTCTATTCTTTGCCTCTGTCTGATACGTCGCTCATTACTGACATCATGACATCCTCTTACAAAGCAACAGATTCCGACAAGTTGTCGGGAAAAACAAGTGGTCGGCAAAGTCAGATGACCGACACCATGACTATCTTGCACAACCATGCACCTCAAAGTACCAATGGTAATGCCAAAAGTGTATCTGCCGCAGTACAGGCTTTAAAAGATCCTTTTGGCACGAGTAAACTTCAGGCCACGATTCATGTAGTTACAGTTGCACCGTTGGCTCTTCATACGTTGATGCCATCAGATTCCCTCGCCAGACCCCTGACGACCCTTTCTCTTCATTCGCTATTGCCTAACTTGGGCGGGTCTCATCAACCCAGGCTGAGGTTGTGGCCTGGTGCTGATGGAATGGTTGGGTTATATGAAGAACTCACAAACACGGTGCTTCTGGCAGACCCCCACAACGGAGAAGTTCTACAACTGAATAAAAATTCATTCTTGGAACGGATCAAGTTGCCCCTAAGGCAGCTTATGCAACAGTCTGTTGATAACAGATGCACACCTTCTGGAGACTCACTTTTTGTGTATACTCTAGGCCAAAATTTTGTTACCGTCGTTAACCCTAAAGAAGGAAGCATTGATTCTTTGGCTCTGCCTATCGATGTGGATGCGGTCGTTGCCGATTGTCAAGGCGGATGGATTATTAAAGATGATCGTGGTTCTCAGTGGCTCATCGGAGGAGAAATGGGATTGGAAACCATAACACCTTTCCAACTGGGATCGGAAGTTGGATCGAATATTAAACATATATCTAAAGTAGGGGACATAGTCATAAAAAATGCACTGAATGTAGATTCAAGTGCTGAAGAAATCTTCCATGTTTCATCGACGCACGGTCAAAATTCTGAAAATAGTGCAGGAATGTTATTGTCGTCTGACACGTCACAAGCGATGCTCTTGCCTGGCTTCCCATACGAAGCATCAGGTGGTGTCTACGCCTGGCCCAGGAAAGATAACCCCCAGAAGTCGAAGAAAATGACTCAGTTCGACAGTGTCTCACACACTCGTTCAGTGACACCCGTGTCTGACTCCGGAAGAAATTGCGTGGTGTTTCCAGCAAGTGGTCAAATTGTTCAAAGTCTGAAGGAGTTGCCGCCCAGTGCTCCCGACGTTCTCAAGTCAGTGCCAGCTTCGGGCTATCTTGAAGTTACGGACGTCGCTGATAAAACGGTCTCATACTTGCCAGTTCCGCAGGTCGAAGAGCACAACGAATACTGGCATTGGACCGTCGGGCGATTGGCACCCAAGTTGATGTTGGCAGGGGACGAGCATGGGGGAGTTGTGTCCGTTGACCGTGCGGGAGGCGTGCGAGTGTGGCAGGTGGGAGGGCAGGAGCTCAAGGCTGGGATAGCCGAGTGGGAGAGTATGGTGGGCCAAGGTGAAGGTGAGCGTCTTGAACTTGAACGTATCGGTGGAGACATGTCCCTCAGTGCACCTAAGCACGGCAAAATTGACACTAACAACGCACCACATGTAGGGGGAAACACGTGGGCCGGAGGAACTGGAGGCCGGGACACTGCCGGGTTAGGGGGCGTGGGCGGACCCTACCGTCTGGATGCGGGTCACGACGTGCATCAAGTGAGCGACGAGGTGAAGGCGACGGTGCCTCCTGAGATCACCGAGGCGGCGCGCAAGATGGCCAAAGCAGCGCACGCGAAGCGTCTCAAAGAAATTCAGATGTCAGAGTACGACCACGAGCAATACGAGGCTGTCAGCAGCAATGTCAGGACGCAAGTCAACCAAATCCGCGCTGTGCTGAGCTCCCTGACGGCCAAGGCTGGTGAGCGGTGGTGGGTGAGGCGGAGACCTGACGGGGAGTTGGACGATAATGCACTCGTCGATGGCCTCGCGGGTGCCACTAACATTTATCGGCAGCGCCGTGAGATTCCTCCTGAAGCTGGACAACCGCAAACCAAACCTAAACGCCTTCGACTCTTGTTGGACGCTTCAGGTTCCATGTATCGCTTCAATGGTCATGACCAGCGTCTGCAAAGATCCTTGGAAGCAGCCCTCATGTTGATGGAAGCTTGCCAGGGCCATGAAGCCCGCTTGGTGTACGACATCTATGCGCACAGTGGCGAGGATCACTCTGTCACGCTCTCACGCATCAAGAATCAACCTGACAACAACAAAAAACGTCTCGACTTACTTCGCACGGTGCTAGCGCACAGCCAGTTCTGTATATCGGGTGACAGCACTGTGATGGCCACCAAAAATGCCGTCGACAAACTAGCTCAAACTGCCGAGGACTACGACCAAAATTTTGTGGTGTTATTATCAGATGCTAATTTAGATCGTTATGGTATCAGTCCAGCCCGCCTTGCCAACGCTATGACGGCGCAGAGTTCAGTTCAGTGCTACGCGGTCTTCATTGGATCCCTCGGCAACCAAGCCAAGCGCCTTGCGGACGCCTTGCCCGCAGGCCGAGCCTATGTGTGCCTTGACACCAACGACTTGCCGCAGATACTCCAGCACATCTTTACTCATGCCATGACGCAGTAAAAATAAAAAAGTACACAGCGTTTTCATCATTAATTGAAGGCACTCAAATTAGCCAAACTGGTGCTGTTTATGCAGCTCATGATTATAAAATGACTACTTTGCTGGTGCACCCAACAGTGTTAGCGCATCGCCTCAACAATGCGTTTCATTTTCAAATTAGTGTTGGAACAGAATAGGTTGTTTTAGTTATTAGGTTCAAGGTAAGAGACACGTTCAATATCGGGATCTGTGGTTGTGTCGAGACAGGGGAATTATTACATAGGATATTTTTGATAAGTTTGAGCTAGTATTCATTAGAGTTCATTATGATATGCTTTATGTACCTAGCGCCTCGTTGACTCTTGGTTACTGTTTTGTATTTAATTGCTTGCTAATTAGATGTGCGTTTGCACTATTATGCGGGTGAGATGTTCAGTCGTACGCATGTACCTGCTTGGTATAAGCCGGCAGTTCATCGCAGTAGTACGCATGTAAGGCGTATAATGTAAGCGAGTGATACGCGAAGTCATTATTACACGAAATTGTGTAGCGCAAACCACTGACCTAACCCGAGGTCTCCAGGGATGTGCCACACTTCTGCTACACATGTGACCGTAGTAATGTTTGTTATTCATGGCCCTTGTAATGTTATTAGTTATTTCCATCGTATAAATACTTGTAATAATGATCAACAATTTACTGGCATACAATATCAATTGTAAATTGAAGTGACCCAAGGTATACGAGAGTGTAGTCACAAAGAATAACTTGATGCGTTTGGAGTTTTGACCTCTGCTTTAGAGTTGTCTTTTTTCTTGTTAGGTAATTATAATTTTTTATTAGTTTTAAAAGACTATAGAGAAAAGTTTTGATTTTTAAAATTTAAATATACATAAAGCGCCTTTGATTCATCCACTACAACATTACGCTCTGTAAATAATTTTTGGTGACTTGGATGCATTTGTTGCGAGCTCCACAAGTCGTCTTTCCTAGTTCCCGAGACTAAAATCACACCGCAATGTTTGCTATGATGCTCCCAGTGCTGTAGCGTTGCAAATTCTAGACTTGTAGTAACGTGGTTATCAAGATAATTGTGCTCCTTTGATACAGTTTCAGTAGAGGCTTATTCAGTGACGACCACATTCAAGATTTTATACGTATTTTATTTGGAGTATTTATATTTCGATTTTCGACACTTGTAACGCCGTGTTCTTACACTGTGTTTTTAATTCCTGTTAACAAATTTTGTATGAATATCATGCTACTTAGTTACAAAATTATGAACTTACCATACATAGCAGGTGTTGTTGCTCTACCTGGACTTACCTTTGCGATTTTTTGCAATTGTTCACCATTGATAAAATAAATACGGAAAATTTATGTTACCAAAAGACGCCGGTAGTTTTATCTCTCCGCTCCGGTGTTTTTGTGCGATTACTTCTACTGTTTAAATTGTATGGGTTGTCGGTAAGTGCTAGTTTTATCAGCAATTTTTATTACTTTATTAAAAATTTGATGTTCCTAGCAGTTTGTTATCTGAAACTTGATGCCTTCTTTGTATATTAATATTAACAATAAGAGAAATACTCAGTCCATATTTAAGAGGAACTCAGGAGTCTAGTTCGCTGAAGTTGCCGCTGCCTTGCTCACTCTCACTCCGTTATGGTTTGATGTTCAGCCGCTAAAATAATAGGTAGAGTTATGTACAAATGATAAATATATATTTTTGTGGCAAAATGAATCTAATTTTATCCTTGAATGCATGATTTTTGTATTCAATGCCGATGCTTCAATGGTTAAAAGCCATTTTCTTTTGATAATCTGAAAAGCAACTGATATTTCTCCAGACGATTGCTACTGCGCGTTCTCAGCCTACTCACCTATGGATTAGCGGAGTCGGCAATAGATTGTGATAAGCCCGGCAAAGATAATGAAGATTGTCATCAGTTACGCGGGTGCATGAACTGGTACGGTGATACCCAATACTTATATAGCAAGCAAAGTACGGATTCCGATCACAAGCCTCCGTAGAAAGATGTTTAGGGTTCTTTAATGTTTAGAACAGTCAGGAAGTAGTTCCATGGCGGCTAATATCCATCACGGAAATCCCATCCAAAGTTCCGATTCTAGTTTTGTACAAAAAATGAACGTAGCTGTATTGAAAAAGTAAGTAGTTTCCTCCCATATTAGTAAAATAATTTCCTGTTTGTTCAGCGAACTTTGATTTAAATTAGTAAGGAATTAATAAACTTCAGTAGAAGCAACATTATTTTTCATCTTATTACGCCATCGTGCTGAAGGAATTTGAGTCGTTTCGTTACTCGAGGCGTTTCGTTGTTCCGCCATATATTTGGCTTGGCGTAAATACCACAAAATTTTAGGAAGTAAATAGTGGCTTCTTGTATGATAGCTTGTTAGCTATCATAGAATTCATTTAATCGTCCGCCAAATACGAAAATAGACACATAAGAAGTAACACAAATTTGTTGAACCAAGCTTTATTGGTATTATGAATATGTGTATATCAATTTACAGCAATTCCTTTACACAAACTTCTGTTCTCGTATATATTTGACCAAATCGTTAATATGTGTGGCACCCTACGAACATTTTTCGAGATAATATACAACGAGCATCCCAAAATTCTCTAGCCATCTTTTTACTGCCGCTACTTCGTTAGTAATCCGATAACGGCCAAAACTCGGCAGCGAAAAGCCAGCGTGTCTTGATGATTCGCCTGCCCATGAAGTCTTCTTAAAGTCAAATAAAATAATAGGTGATGTGGAAGCCAAGATAAATAGTGTTTTGTAACATTCATTAAATGCCATTTAAACTTGGCTATTGTATAAGTAGATAGATAAATTTGTATCCTATGGTTTGTCCGACACAAGAATTCTCACCTTGTTGATTGGATCTTATTCTTATTGCTATGCTATACATGAAGGCAATGTAAATGCGCAATTATAGTTCCTGATATAACTTCCTTGCGTTACAGTGTTTTAAGTATGAGCGTTATGGTATGAGAGGTCACTTCATTGATTAGCGAAAAATATTACCCTTTTATCATCAATTGTGTTAGCTTTTTTGCATTAATTAGCGAAAAATGCTACCTTTTTATACTCGCGCATAACGTCTCCATTTAGGTTTTTAGTTCACGTTTTCTTTGGTGTTTTAGGGCATAAACAGACATATTTGCAATGTAGTACTGTAAGTTTTCACCAAACTCACGATACCATTATATCTAATTGGGATTTTCGAACCTTTTCACCATCGTAGATTCAATGTATATATATTCATTTTAGTTAAATGTTTTCTCTGTAATTTTAGATAACAGTATTGCTTACTTAGCGGATTTTTCGCTTGCTGACAAGGTGTACTCTGTCAGCGGCGGCTCCATCCGACCTCTCGGACCCTTTTCCGGCCGGTCTCCAAGATTCAGTGAAAATAAAGTATCTCTGTAACTAATTAAACTATGAAATTTTGCACATGCATTCAGTGAGATCTAATTGTAGAAGTCTTGATACGAGAATCTGTTGGTGAGTTACACTTGTATGAAGCCTGTAAGCGTGTTATGCTCGGTACGTCATGCTGCTTTTACCAAAAGATGGTCGATTCATCCTTCAATTCTGTGTGAATATAATATATAATTAAAATATATAATTGTAAAATATATAAAAATATAATATATAATAAAAATTGATTACAGATTGTCGTTGTTCTATCGCATTTTTTGCGATATTTTTAGCGTTATTTTTAACCTATTATTGCAGTGTTTAATGATGATAATGATCAGTTCACACAAATTGCATCGTGAAATCATCCATTTTTTCTTCTCGGCAACATCATTTCAATTTCTATTCGGCTGAGTCGGTTTATTCGGCAATTTCTCTCGAGTCTCTTTATCCAAAATGGAATCGCTGAACCTGACCAAATTTCAAGATTATTAGTTGCCACATCGACACTCTGTAAAATTTGGTCGAAATAAATGTAATTGTTTTAAAAATTGTAAATCTTTTGTCGGAAGAATATATTAGGCTTTTTTAGTTTTTGCGTGAATAATATCAAATACATAAAATCGGGGGCGCAGCCGTGCACCAACAATTTTGTGCACCAATAAGCCCTGAATCGAACGCCTTGGATCTCTCCGGACCTACACCAATCAGCCGTGCACCACTCGGCTTTCTCCTCTTCCGGCCTTGACCACCACCTGCCGTGCACCACCAGGCCGCGGATCGAATATGACTTTCAGGCATCGTTAAATTACGTGATTTTACGTTCACCACATCTGAGGTTAGGTTTCAGATAGCATAATTCTGTTCCAAAATTTATCGTCCTTCGACAAGTGGCCGTTCGACCGAGGGCTGGTTCGACCCACGGCCTAGATACGGACGGCTTGAAGTGTTGAAGGCTACGTTCCGGAAGGCAGGAATTATTATGGTCCATTATATCCAGAGCAGTGATGGTCTTCGGCAGGCGACCCCATAAAATCGTTAAACCTGCTAATAAATATGAAATTGGATCATCATAACGAAAATTCCGTGCCAGACGCTGAGTCAACGCGAAGCGAAAAATTTACCGACTTGTGACAATAAAAAATTATCATTAGCACACACAAAGAATAATATATATTTTTTCATTTGATGATGCGTGTTTGATGCATTAGTCGAAATGGTTGGCGAACTTTTTCATCCTATTTAATACTGTGAAAAGCTATGTTAAGCTATACAAGTATACAATGCTGTACCTATGCTAGTATTTCCCCTTGTGGTGATCTCACTCGAGATGGGAACGCGTAGGCACCACTGTAATGGTCTACCCCTTTAAAAATGCTTCGTCTTAAGCTGTAAAATAACATAAAGTAAAATTTTACGCTATTGTATACTTTCTACAAATCTTACTGTTATTATTAGTAAGGAAAAGAGCATATTTCGTTGCTCGTTCGCTCGATTGCCGGATATATCTGAGTGCAATCTAATAATGTTACTTAATTTCCGAGCAAATTTATATTTTTTAGAATTATCGCTATTCGAAGATCTTCAAAATTTCACAAATTTTTCTTTTTCTTAGATTAAATTCCTTTCTTTTGAGTTCAATCCTTATCTGTGCTTTCCTGTAAATCAAATATTACGACCAAAGACTCAAAGAATTCATATTAATATTAAATGTCTTATTAAATTCGTGTGTAAAATTCGCATATTGCGAATTTTTTACACGACGTATGCGAATTTTACAGCATATAATTTTTTACAATATTGTTTGCAACGTAGGTGCAACAAAACGGGGTTTAGGCGTGATTAAATCTTTAGCTACCAATTTTCTTGTGAGTGTAAAACACCACATTGCGCCCTTATCATATTACGGAAATCTATTATCTGAAAAATATCTGACAGGCAACATATAACTCCACATGGTCATATCGCAGCCTGTAATTAAAAGCCACATATTTGTCCAACATATTCGCCGTGTTAAAAGGTGATATTTATGTGTACAGCTAAACGCTAAAGGGTTAAATTGATAACGGGTTAAATTAAAGTCACAAACCGATCACTTACATGTTTAATAATATATCATGATCGTGTTGCAGCTACACATTCAACTATATTATCGAAAGCAGGACACATACCTATATGGGTGCAAAATATATATTAAACTTCGAATAGACTTTTTCTCAAATAATGAGTTTATCAATTGTTGAAGCATTAAATACACATTAATCATCGATTTCTGATGGTTGGAACACAACAATCACTATAGTTATTTCTATACACTGAAACAGCAAATGTATATACTTGGGCTCTGAATCACTTGCATGAACAAGCATTATTTCCACACTTATTTTTCTAACACTCACCTAGAGAAATGAGTGGCACTTTGTCCAAGATGTGATGCACTTTTTGCGCATTTGTGGGTCATCCTGACATAGTTTGCCACGGCAAACTGGCGTATCAGCCTTAATATAAGCAAAATTGTGTCACTATTTGGGCACTGTGACTCATTCATTTGTCTAGGTGCTTGTTTGTCTTGTACACTACAGTAGTAGAATCTCTGTAAAGTGAAAATCGGTTCCATAAAGGTATGTAAAAATTTAGCTCGGGAATATTATATAGCGCCTTATAAGGAACAGCAGCCTCGCCGAATTTAACAAAAAAAGATTGAGTTTAATTATTAATTTATTAAATAATCAAATAAAATTAAATTAAATGATAAAAAGTATTAGTTAATTAATAATTAAATAGCACAGTTTGCTTTTGAATCGTTCACAGTATGTGCGCGCGTCGTATGGAGTGACACTAAACTGCATTTACGTGCAAAGCTCATCTATGTACGTATATAGCGATTCTATAGCATCAACCGTGCATTTAAATTTACCGTTTCTATTTATAGTAGCATCACTCATAAGAATTCCCCCAAAATATATAAACTTAATTTACTCTATGAAGTACTTGTACGAAGAAAAGCAGACAAAAATATTAAGAGTATTTCTAATAAATGGAAGAATGACTTTGGTGTCAGAAATTGCTCACTTAAAAAGGCCAAGTAATATCCCGACACGATTAGTATCCTGGATACACGCCCGAACAGCGCTTGTGTCCGGCATGTTTTTATCCACTGTGCTAGGCTTCACACAAAAACATATGAACTTGGCCAAATATTGATAGGATTACATAATTTCGAAGTTTATTAATTCTTCTACGCCAAATATTTATAAGATTACATATTTTTCGAAGTTTATCAATTCTTCTATGCCAAATAT